GAAAGAAAGGTAAGAAATAGAGAACCCTCGTTTGAGACGGAGAATTGAGGATATAAATGTTCTAAGTGTTGCAAACTTCATATTTACAGAGACACACGAGTACATATAATACTAGAATAGCCTTTGATGGTACAATAAAAGAAAAAAATTGAAAAAAAAATTAGTGCAAAGTTTGAATTAAAATTTTTTAATATTAAATTCAGGTCACAAATTCGATTTTCAATTGCTAGTACACGTATATACATAATATTACAAATGAATATATTGGACAAATAATATATATATATATATAATCAAGAGCAATGTTCAACTGCTCTCTTGTAAGCAAGGAGTAGTATACTCACTTTTAATTATAGCATTGAGATCTAATCCCAGGACTAATTGAAGAAATAGTTATCTTAATAAATTATCATTCTTTTAATTAATATTAATTGTTAAATTACTATAAGGAATAGTTTCTTAAAACGAAAAAAAATTGATATTATATTTTAATTAACGTACTATTGTCCCCTTCTTAACCTTGCAATTAATTTATGAGAAATGATAAGTCTTCCGACCTCAATAGCCAGCTTCTCTTCCGAATACAACGTGGTTGGATCATGTTGAAACTCTTCACAAAAAATCCCGTAAGCATCTCTTTCTTTTCGACTCATTTCCAATCACGTTGTATTCGGAGAAAGAGTCGACAATTGAAGTTGGAAAAATCTATTACTTCTCTTGATTTATATCTATAAAACAACTACTTACCGAATAATCCAATTACAATGGAATGTTGTACTCTCAAAATATGTTTATTTGTATGTGTGTGCATAAAGATGAATTCAAAGACAAACAAAATCATCAAATTATGTAATCGATCAAATATAAAAATTATAAGAGAGAAAGGGAATGGACCACCTCCACCATTGCTGCCACCATCTACACTGGCACTGCCGCCACCTCCACGGTCGTCGACCTCCACTGCCACCACCTTCCTTGTCACTGCCGCCACCTCCATGGTCGTTGGCCTCCACCGCCACCACCTACTCAGTCACTGTTGCCACCTCCACCACCGGCAATGGCTGGGTAGGTGGTGGTGGTGGCGGCGGCGGCGACGGTGTAGGTGGTGGTGATGGAGGTGGAAGACACCGTAGCAATTTAAAGTTAAGGAGATTAAAGAATTTATTTTTTAAGAAACTATCCATAATAGTCATTTTACAATTAATATCTAATTAGAAAAATGATAATTTCTTAAAATAACTATTTTTTAATTAATGGTATGATACCGTTGTGTATATATATATATATATTTTTGTAAATCTGATGTGTCATGATGGATTTACAAAAAAAAAAATTGAATTATTTAATTTTAGCTCCAATGGTTGTTTTATACCCTTTTTGTAAAAATATATCTCCCAATAACAATCAACCATGTGTCACGTCATGACCCATATAACTTTTACAAACTTACTTAATATATGGTTGATTCTTTAACGGAATAAGAAAGAGGGATGAAAAAGGAAATCTGTTGATTTGGCCGTGTAAAATAAACAACCCTTTTACACATTGGTGATGTGACAATGTATCTTAACATATTACTGGAGATGAAAAAAATTTACATATCATAGGTGACAGTGTATATTTTACATAAAAAGATATTTTAACATACCGCTGGAGATGCTCTTAGATCGTAAGGTTACAATTTAAAGTGAGGATATTATTTCTTGCTCGTTGAGAGCAGTTGAACATCACTAATATATATATATATATATATATATATATATATATATATATATATATATATATATGTGTATATATATATATACACATATATATATACACCCCCCATAGGCCTTATACCTACATACTCCGACAAGGCCTCTACTCTATGGCCCAATACCAAATTTTCGGCTCAACGTCCTTAATAACTTTATAAAAAGGGAGCAAACTCAATTCTAATACCTTGTCTAATTTATTTATTTATTTTTCACAAAATGCACTTTGCCAATGTGCATGCAATGAGGATTGGAATAGGCTATTAACAAGATTTTAATCCCTTATATCGAATGAATTAGGTAACCACAAAATAAATAATTATTTGGTGTATGTGAGATTGTGTTTGGTAATTGAATGTTTCACACAAGGGTGTACATGTATAGATTCGATATGGTTATTGGCTTAAATCGGAATACGGTTCTAAAAATATTTTGAATCAAAACTGAAATTATTGGGACATCGAACAGATCGAATTAAATCGTAAAAGACAGATCCAGTTCAGTTCAATTCGGTTCCACGATTTTCTTTATACTTTTCTAAAAACATAGATATACACACATTGTAGGAACAAATAAGAAAATTAACAAAATATAATATAATTGTAATTCTAAATTTAAATTGTAATAATGGAATTGTTTTGGTTCAGTTTTTAAGACTCCATTTGCTTAGATGGAAATAGGAAAAAAAAAAATAGAAAATAAAAATAAAAGTAAAGTGAATGAAAATAAAGTTGATTTTCTAGTATGCATTTGGTTAGAATGAAAATTTATTCAAGAAAATTGTAAACAAATATTATATTATAGTTTAGATACTTAAATTGCTCTTATTTTATAAAAACAGTAAAATAATATTAGTAGTGATGTATATAAAAATAATGAAGAAATTTTCAATTAATATAGACCTTGCAAACACTGCTATTTATTTCATTTCCATATATGATGAAAAGCAATTTTTTTTTTTACCCTTATAATGGAAAACAGTTAAGAATGGTCTAAAGACTATAAGTTAATTCAATTCTTATCAATGATAAAGTTGTTGTTGAATTACAATTCTTTGAACCCAATAAAACAAGGTATGGTTGGTCTCCAAATATCCACGAAATTGTTGAATAAAATAATATCAATGGACTTGTTAGATAGAATAAAAATGCAAAATAATAAGTCACTCACGTGAAAATTTTAAAAAAATAAATAAATTTTCTATTTCTTTTATTTTCTCGTTGATTTTCTAACCAAACAAAGTCTAAGGGCCGATTTGCCATGTGTAGACACTAAAATTTTATGGACTTTTATTTTGACAAATTGACTTATCAAATATGGGTATCATGTTTAACTAAATTATTTAATTGGCCCAAACTTGATCCATTTAAATTATTTAATTAGCTTAGCCCAGATGATTAAATAAAAATATAATTATTCCTAATAAAATATATTTGGAATAATTATTTTATAGATAATCATCATAATATAGCGGGTTGCCCAGTTATGATTTTGTTCTTATCAGGAGATGACACATGTCATCATCCTATTAATCTAAAAAGCTTATAAATAGAAGCATGGAGAAAGGAGGAAGGAGGTCAGAAATTGACAAACTCATAAATCCAAAGGGCCAGAAATCCAGAGGGAGAGAAATTGAGAATTCCAGAGAGCAATACAAAAACACTGCCGACATTCATCCCCAACACCCAAACCTGAAGGCGAAGAGCAACAAGCATATCAAATTCCACGGTGATCAACAAAAAGCACATCCAAAGTCGTGCCGTTCTTCACTGAATTCAACAAATTCCCTCTGAAGGCGAATAACAACAAGCACATCCAAAGTCGTGTCGTTCTTCAACAAATTTAACAAATTCTCTGAAGATGAAGAACAACAAGTACATCCAATTCAAAGTCATGTCGTTCTTCCTCAAATTCAATAAAGAATAACAAGCACATCAAAATCGTACCGTTCTTTCTCCGTGATTCAACAAGTTTGACGAATCACCACACAACACTGTTCGAGATCAAACTTCGTCAGCCCTCGATCAAAAATTATCGGCGATCTTCCTTAACTACAAATACTTAAAGAAGATTATCAACAGACCGATTCAAGATTAAGCTCCAACAGCCCTTGGATCCAACTAAAAAAGGAGATTGAATCGGAGGAGATATTCTTTATTTTACTTTTGAACTTGCACACTTATTGGGGACATCTTCCTCCCGTTCACATGGGAAAGAGGCAAAGAAGTATTTACGGAACACGGATCAACAACGGAATCAGCTCTTTTGAACTTCTCTTATTTGTACAGAATCTTGTCTTTTGAACGGATCTTGTGGCACGAAACTCCACTACAAGAAGCTAACAGTCCATATAAGGAAATAAAGAAAGAGAATGAAACTTCTGAAACTAAAGCATGACGAAGCCTTTCCCTTCCCAAGCTATGAACCATTGAAGGAGTTCCGCATCCTCTTCTCGCTTTATTAGGAAAACCCCTCGCAACAAAATCAAAAGGATTGTACTCAAATTTTTATAAATTAATAAAATTATATTTGCTCCTTATTTTGTTCTTTATTTGCAGATTACGAAATTTGTGTGTACACCATGTAAAAGTTAAAATCGGAACACTAAGGCTTCGTTTGACAAGCGTTTTGTTTCTAATGTTTTTGTTTTTGTATTGCTAAAATGTCAATTTTGACAACAAAAATATATTTGGTACAGCCTTATTTTATTTTACATAGTGTTTCGTACATAGTAGTTCAAAACCAAAATATAAAAAAATTATTTTTTCTTAATTTGACGTCTATTTCTTTTTTACCAGTAGTAAAAAACAAAATGCCTACACACAAAATTCAAATTTTTTTTTCCATCTTTTGTGGTCGGTAGAGAATAAAATAAAAATAAAAATCCCTGTTGGGAATCGTACCAACCCATGAAAGAAGGGGAAAAAAAATCACAATGATCGGTAGAACAAAATTCCCGTGTCATTAAGCCCGTGTGAAAACACGTGTATAAGGGCCCTAAAACTTTTCCGACTTTTTTCCTCGCTAACTCCACCACGTGTCAAAAGTAAGGCTTAGATGGACAGAATTTTCGTGAGTTCGCGGTTCACTAAATTATACTCCGTAAACCTAAGACATAATGACCCAGCGGGGACTCCACCAACTTTCTGCTCAATTGGGGTTTGTTGACACGATGACCCACCATTTCTCTCAACAATCTTATTTTATTTTTATTTTTTGGGCTTTTCATTGTTCTATATACTATTTATTTTCAATATATAATATACAAAAACAAAATATAAGTAGCGCAGACATTGCGAGACTATCGAAGAGCAGCATAGAGTATTGTGGGTTGTGCTAAAATGGCGTCAAGGTTGTGGGCATCAAGAGCTGCTTCATACCTCAGGATCTCAGTATTCCACAGAGGCTTCTCTTCCGGTATATTCAACTTCTTCCAGTTTATTTTAATGGTTTTTGTTTTTTGGATTTGTTTTTCACTCATTACAAATCTTTATGTTTCATATGGTGCTGATCTGTGAGTGTTTTGAGTAAAGATCTGGCTCTTCAATGTGGGTTTGCTTATATGTGTTGTTGGTTTGATATGATTGAAGTTTTGATTTGGATCAATGAACAGACTAATGGGTTGCTTGAAACTTGTCGGTTGAGGCTTGATCTTTGAATATTTTATACTTTCCCATTGATGTATTGGTGGTTTGATGTGGTTTCTTCGGGGCAATCATTTATGACATGTGATGTTCTCATTGGTTTTTTCTTACTGTGTATGTATATGTCTCTGTGTGTAACAGTAAGTAAAAAAAAAGCTACATTTTTGTTACATTTAGTTTTAAAATCTTACTATTATATTTGTCCCATATTCACAAGCAACCATGTCCAATAAAAAGGAAAAATGAGAAAGAAAAAAATCTGCTTGGCAATTCCAAGTAGTTGGAATCGAGGAAACCGGATTTCTATCAGCAAATCAGTATTTTGAGTTATGTTTTGGGCTACTGGACTCTCACCTTCTATGGTGTTTTGATCCTTTTGTTTCGGGAGGAATCGATATGGATTTATAATATGATTTGGCATGTATCCATTGTTCACTTGTTTATTTGTTCTTGCTTGATGTCACATATTAATATATTTCCACTAGGTTCTCCATCGTATCAAGTGTGAGTTTTAACCTTGTAGGCTATCCTTGCATCATATCTATATTGATTTTTCATAGGCATGGACCTGTATATCTTCCTGCACAATAGGTAGTGATACACTGATACCTTCATTAACATTACTAACTACTCAATCATTAAGGTGGTGAAGGTTTCTTATTTGTCTGATTGATTTGAATTCTGATAGCGTCTTATACTGAATGCGTTTTCAAAGATCTATATTTTACTTAAACTCAAAATTACATTGATGTAGTGAGATTTTTTTCCCCCTCATAAGAACAAGCTGACATCAATAGAAGTTTGAGAATGTTGTAATTTTTTAATTAATTACAATATTATGAAACTTTTGCTCTATGTTACACTGACTATTTAAACAAACATGCTTGAAGTAGCTGTGTTGGACTCATGAGTCATGACACTCGTGTGGTTCCAACATTTTTCGTTGAACTTGCACATAATAACCATATCTAATAATTCAAGTTTAATTAGAAATACAATATTAAGAAACTTTTGTTCTATGTTACATGGATTATTTAAACAAACATGCTTGAAATAGCTGTGTCAGACTCCATGACATTCATACATGGTTATGGTTCCAACATTTCTAGTTGAACTTACACATAATAACCATATCTAATCATTCGAGTTTATTATATTATTGTACAAAAAGTTCATTTGTTGTTCCAGTTTTGTTCCAAAATGGATGAAGTCCCGATGCTGAACACTTTCTCACATAAAAGTATTATTTTACTAGAAAATAAAAGAATAATATCAAATAATACAGAGATTTAGTTGTGTTCTTGTGCCCTAGGATCTTGGATTGATAAATCCAATGCTTCAACATACCTACGTCTGACAGACGCATGTATCCGTGTTCATGTAATTATATTTTTTTTGATAAATACCGTGTTCATGTAATTATACTCATATTAGAATCTTAGTTTGTGTTTGGGATGCACTCTCCTGTTGAGTGTGCTTTCTATGGTGCGCTAATTATAAAAAAACAAAAATATTAGAATCTCAGTATATTGTGTGTGAACATGCAGCATAGTTAGGCATCCACTTTTTGTCTTATTGTTGTTATCTTTCCTTTCTTGTTGTAAATATTAATATATTGAGGAGATTCAGTAGTTTAGGTTTAATGGAGTCCGTGATAATGATCTAAAGAGAACTTGATACACAATCACAAATAAATGAATGTACTTGGTTTGCTCGTGGATGGTATTTTCTTTAGTGAAATTCATCCAAGAATTTTAATTATTTAAATGGTTGACAATACAATTAATAGGGGATTAAGACGAGGATGATGATGATGTTGATTACAATTCAAATAGGTGATAAATAGGCCTGCACCCTTGGAATTGTATAGAAACTGAAACTGAACTGATAGACTATAATAATAACAAACCAAAATTTTTTACTTGAAAAGTTTCACTATTATGTAAATCCCAATGCTGTATTTCTCTCTGCTTCTTTCACGGTGAAAGGAATTTGTTTGAGGCAAGGACTATCTCTTTTAAATATGTTGTGGTACAGTTGATAAGATTATGAGGGAAAGGTTGCACAAAAGATTATTAATTTGGATGGATGCTTTATAATTCACTTTGTTTATTTTTTATTATTTTCTCTTGAAGTGTACTTCAAGTATACCTAAAATACAGCGAGCTTCTATCAGCTTGCAATCATGATTTTAGTTGTTAATCAGTTCATGATATATGAGCTACAATTTTTCGTTGGGCAGCTAGGAACTGGCTTGAATGTCTATGATGGGCATATTAAGTTGGATATGCTTTGAATAATTGACTGCTCTGGTAGGGATCATTAAAAGTTCAAGGATTAGGGTTATGGATCAGTAGCAGGTTGAAGGACTTGTCTTTAGTATGTGGCCTTGTGATAAGGGCTCTGAAGAGGGTAGAGATGGGAGGCTAAGAAGGATGTGGATAAATGTAGTATGCTTTAGATGATAGTTAACTTTTTCAACCTTAGAATGAGATTCTTTTGACCCAAACGATTGAAAATGGCCTACTAAAAAGATCTTGTGTGCTTTACAGAAGTGTAGATATTGCATAAGTCAAAACTTGTAGGGCGTCCAATCAATTAAATTGTGATGAATTCTGTACAGATAGCTGTTAGGTAGGTAGATTTATAGAATCCCATTCCAGTACAGAGAAAGTTCAAATCAGCAAAGTAACAAAAAAAACACCTTGTACTTTAGAAATAAGGAACCTTATATGCAAAATGGTTCTTTTATTCATGAGGAGCTTCTTCATAAAATATCGTTGAAGAATACTGTTGGCACTTGACTTTAAAGGGGCCTTCAGAATTTGTATTTTTTTTTGGATTTTTAAGAAAACTTCCCTTCAGTGTAATGTATGATAACGTTTTCTTGCTATCTTGCTCAATGTTTAAGTTACCTTTTTTCTATATATATATTTTTTGAGTAATAATATATGTTATATAATATATTAATGTTTTGAGAACTATTATAATTTGAGTCCATTCAGGTTAAGTATTCCGTGTTTCATTCAATTGACAATGAACTCCATCCCTCTCGCAATCTTGGAACATTGTTTTGTTTGTCTAGAGCTAAATCTAGTTGGACTTTTATTTCGGGAAATCTTGTGGAATTATTTATTAAATTTTCTCACTAATTTGGGCAATATGTGGCATTTGATACTTACAAAAAAAATAATACTCCCTCTATCCCACTTTAATTGTCGCCTTCGGGAACCGTGACTGACAAACATGTGAGTCATGGTTCCAGAAGGCGACAATTAAAGTGGGACAGAGGTAGTAATAAAATTGTGATATTTGATGCTACTTGGGTAAGCAAATTATTAATAAATTATGTACTATGGCTCAACTACCATATTTGATATTATGATTTGATTTTGCCCTTCTTGAGTTCTTCATTTCATTTTTTCAGCCAACAGTATAATCAAAAGTCCAAACCAGAACCTAAAAACCCTTTTGCACATATTTTCTCCTACCATGACTTAAAGGCATTCTTTGATCATGATATATATTTTTTCTTTTCCCTGGGTGATGAGGAACCTTTCCAACCAGGTGCCCTTTGCATTCGTGGCTACAACGTAAACCTTAGATGTCAGATGTCCGCAGTCACCCAATTTGTTTTTTGTTTTGTTTTGTTTTGTTTTTTTTTTTTTTTTTCCCTTTCCAATGACAATAATTTTCTTCCCTTATCAAGTTGAGGCTGTAAAAGATTTTATACTTCGATTTAAATTTAATGGATATGATTATTTAAAACTTTATTGTTGATAACTAATATGATTATTTTAATATATATGTACAAATATATATTTGTTAAACGAGCAGTGGGTATATCTCATCTCTCCTTGAATTTGGAGTTCTAACGATTACATTGGGTGTTATGTATGCTAATATATTCATCAATACATTCTTATTTCCTTTGTTTGCAGTTGTGAAGGATTTAAAGTATTGTGATTCTCATGAATGGGTGAAAGTTGAGGGTAAATCTGCTACCGTTGGCATAACTGATCATGCTCAAGATCACTTGGGTGATGTCGTTTATGTTGAATTACCTGAAGTAGGAGCTGATGTAAAACAGGGCGGCAGTTTTGGTGCCGTCGAAAGTGTCAAGGCCACTAGTGATATCAACTCTCCTGTTTCTGGGAAAGTGATTGAAGTCAATGAAGAGCTCAGCAGCTCCCCTGGTTTGGTGAGTCATCTGATGCTAATTATTGCTTATTCTATTTTGACATTGATAATTTTAGAGCTTGATAGTTATCTGGTATGATGTGTTTTGGGGGTTAAATGAGTATAGAAATTAAAAAGAGAATTACTTTGTTTCAGTTTGCTTCAACTGAAAGTCGGTTATTGATGTTCTGAACTGTCTTCAAGTTGTACTGATGCAACTCAAGCCTTCTTTGAGTACCAGATTGTGTCTGCATATGTTTTTGTATCATTTACGTATCTTCTAAATCATTTTGAAGTTCTAGATTGTGGTACTAGTTGTATTATTGTTTACATAGCTGTAGAAGAGTCTTTATGAAATATTAACAATTTCACTGAATGCCTTACACAAGTCTTCTATAGTGGGGTTAGAGCACTGAAACACCTTCCTATTATAGTGTATTGTAATTTCTTGTAATCTCAAATGTAAGTAACACGGTACAAGAGATTGGTTAATAATATGATACTTACACCCATCAAAATCTCTCTCTCTCTCTCTCCATCTTTTATTTTTCTCTATTTTGGCCTTTGTTCAAAACTTACGCTGGTTGAACTGTTGTACCCTAGTACTCTATTTTAAGACGTGGTGACTTGAAAATTCCATCAACATAGTCAGTTGATTATCATTACGCAGCTAGGTCGTCAAAATACTTGAGATTAGATCATCCTCAACCTTCCTTGGTCAGCACATTTCTATTTTCCAGCAAATCATCTAAATTAACTTCTTGGTAGACTATGACTATAAGAGATTTAAGGTCTGGGTTGCTTGATCTGTAAAACTTTTGTAGCACGTATAGCATTTTCTTGCATTTCTCTTTGTATGTATTATAGGCTATATTTGTTTTGCTTGCACAATTTATGAACTTGCAAGGCCCTTTGTGCTTGACTCATTCAGTTACAACTTAAAAATTTTCTTTCTTCTTTCACAGTTTTATTTGTGTTCTCCCTTCTTAATAGTATCTTGAATTTAAATATCCTGTAACTTGTCAGTACAAGGCTTAGATGGATTGATTTATCAACCAAGTTCCTAATATGTATCCCTGTATCATGGGGTACTGCGTTTTCACCATTGTCCTTAGTCTCCCAAGGTTACCAGAGTTGATGAGATACTTTGATATTTATTCTTGTCAAAAGCTCTCAGCTTTCTATTGCAACTTTTATAATATCATACTGGTGAGCTATGTGATATGTGCATTGGTCCAAAAGTGATTAAATTATTTCCTTACCATTAAAGGAGCAAGGTTTGATCATATCCCTACAAAATATGTGAACACTGCAAAAACAAGCAGGAAGAATAGCAGTGTATGCATATATATCAAAAAATAGAGTAAACAGTAGATTGGATTCTCATGAAAGGAAAAAAATAAATAGGAAAGCACAATCCAATTTGACATATTATTTATTATTTTTAATTTTTTGGTGAAAATAGTTGTTTACCAAATACATGGAAAGGATTCTGATTGATCTAGCTCTTGATGCGACACATTTCATATCAGGCTGATGAAACTTGGTGATTATCAATTTTTTATTTTATTTTATTTATTTATTTTTCTGGACAAGGAACCAGGTAAAGGACACATTGTTAATGAATCAGCTCTTCTATCTTTTCACAGAAAAGACAAGCATCCATAACATATATATAGATAAGTAATACACATGCACCAATATCTCAACTGAGAGTTGAGCATGCCTGCCTTTTGGGAATGACAGAAAATACCACTCAAACTTACAAATGGTGGTCACAATTGATTTTTTTTATAGGTATTTGCTTATATATGGTGTATATACTTATTTATTTAGTGAAAAGAATTAGGATCGTTGCTCAAGGCTAAGTCAGTGTGTGCAGAGGCCCAAACTAGACCTAGAGGAATGGTGAATAGGTCTTGAAAACTAAACTTTAACCAAAACTTAAATTCAAGTATCACAATTAATTAAAGTTTATATATTAATCAGTAAGTGTAACTTAGGTTGTAAAACATAAAATCATCCATACACTTGTACACCGATTTTTACGTGGAAAACCCCATTAGGAAAACTACGGGACCTAGTCCAAGCAGATCGAATCCACGAACAAAAGAAATGTTTGCAATTAGGTCAACAAGACTCTAATCCAAGAATCTCTTAGTTACCTCTGACCCAGAATCATGCTAGACACCCTACTAAATTTCTTCTGCTGCCAGTCAATTAATCTGCTTTTCACGCAATCCCCTCTTCAACTCATGCTTTGATCTCCAATGACTAGTCATGTTCGATTGTTAGTTTGTTACATGGAACTTGAGGTGGTGTTGAAATCCATGAAACTCTAGGAATTGTATGTTTCAGAACTTATGAGCACTCACCATCTATATGAATGATGAATGAAACAAAAGTCTAGTAATTTGATTGCTTGAATGCACTTTAAATTGCCTCACAAATATTTGATGCTCTTTATAGACCTTGGAGTTTTAAAAAGTCTAGGGTTCATAGAGTTTGAGTCAGATTTGGAAACTGCCTTCTCGCAGGTTTTAATCTATTGAACCTAGTCGAGCGCGTTTCAATTGATCCTTCAATCAATCAAACTCCCTTGTTCGGTTCAGTTAGGGTTTAACTTTCCAAAACAGTTTTATGCATTATAGAATAGATTTTTAAAGATCAAAACATGAAAATTGAAAACCTGAACATGTTTAATGAATTGAGTGAATGCATAAAAACCCTAAATTGGTGAGTGCAAAATATTGGGAGTCGAATTTACCTTTTTACCCTTGTTGAAAATTTTAAAATTTTTCTTTTTGCCCTTAGACAGAAGTAACTCAAAAACTACTAATTTATGAAACTATAAACAGAATTAAAACACAATATTATAGAATTCATTTTGTGTGAAATTTGCCAACCGAAAGTCTTATTTTTTAAAAAATTCATATTTTTAGTGTGGGAATGTCCAATGTTATGAGTTTTGAAGGCAGATGTATTTGACCGTGTAAAACCCGAGTTCATTTCAAATTTAAAGAAGTAACTTGTGCAGTGGGTGTATCATTTCACTCCCTCTCTGGAAAGGAAAAAGAAGTCCTTTTATGTAGGATTCTTCCAAATATTGCTTTCTTCGTGTGTGACCCTTGCATAAAGAGAGAAAGTGGAAAAAGAAAAACTTTGTGCCATGAGAACTTCTTTACATGAGTTTTTGAGTTAAGTCACTCATAGTCAAAAGGTTTAATACAGTTGCCTACTATTTATCTTCCAATTGAACTGGCTTTAATTTCAAAGACTCTAGTTTTTGCTCGGTAGCCCTCAGCTCCTCACTATTTCAATTTGACACTCCTTGATCATGTGCATTCCATCCTCATTTCCAAGATTCATTCATTATATTTAATTAGTTGGACATATGAATCACTTTTTTTTTTCATAAGAAAAATATAATCTTTTATTAGTTGTCCTAAAGTATGTAATTTGAAAGGTTTGCAAATGTTTTAAAATTTTGTTCCTACTTATCCATGATTGTTCTATATCTAAATGCCTTCCCCTCTCCTCCTTTTGGGTATAATATGTTTTACTAGTGGCAAATAGTAATATTATATTTCTGATTAAATTATTTGTTGTATGTGGGGTTGCTTTTAGTATTTATTCTCAGTGTTTTTAATTAAAATAAATGGCTCTCTGTATGAGGTACGGACAAATTTGTGATTTGGGGGATAATGTTGTAGCGGAAATGGAACTAGAACATTGTTCAGAACACCAATGGTAGAAATGAGTAAAATTCGACATAAACAATGGTACAAAAATCTCTGATAATATGAGGACATTATTGTTATCATCTCTTATCTGTAATTGTCCAGCTTAAGTCATGGTCCTCATATTGAAATGCTTACCCAACTTTTGTTTGTTGCAAAGTTGTTTTATTATCTCCCATTTACATTGATTGGTTGAGTGACTCCTTCATTCAAGTCACAAAACCTATGAAGAAAAGTTTTTTTTTTTTCCGTCCCTGTTCTGTTGTTCTTGTTGTTTGTATTTGATATTTAACATGTAAAATTTCTTTTTTTTAGGTAAATGGAAGCCCATATGAAAATGGATGGATCATAAAGGTGAAGATTAGTAACACCGAGGAATTGAATACTTTAATGGACTCGGATCAGTACTCCAAGTTTTGCGAAGAAGAAGATGCGAAGCACTGAGGGAACTCTCGCAACGCGGTGCAGGTACTACTTTCTTGAAGGGCTGGATGGGTTTTAAAGCAAGGAAGTTCAGAAGTATGGATTTGTGAGTTTTGGTACTTTGTTCCAGTCGTGTTGCAACTGCTCTTCTTTTCTTTCCATTAATGGAATATTGCTATTGGAATTAATAACATTTTTCTTTGTTTGCACCGGTTTTACGATTGCCTGTCTAATTTTTTTTTTTTTTAAATTTATTTTATTTTATAGATTTGAGTAGTATTTTGCTTAAATTTAGATTTATCTGGAATATGTTGTTAGTATTGAAAAATTTGAAGATTGTTGATTGTGTGAGGAAAAAGCAGGGATAGAGAGATTTCATATTGCTATTCTTGAATCATTAACGATATGTTTTTGTTAATTAAATCTGCAAAAATATGTTCCATCATTGTTGGTGGATATGACATTTGCCTGCAGAAACATGGAGAAATAGGATCCTCCTTGCTATACGAATGACATTAGATTTAATCAGTTCTTATAGACTAGTATAGAAATACAGCTCTTGTTCCATGACCACCATTATACAATTTCTCAAAACGGGCAATGCCGTTCGTGCTATATTGTTGAAGTGAAAACCACCGTCATCATCCTTGCCTTCATCTTATAGAGATGGAGTCGGCTTCAAGAATTCTCTTTTTCCGTTCTTTCCTATTATATAATATTTTTCAAGTTGTTTTTAATTACTTCATACCATGTGAGTTTTGGTCTGCCTTGTCGAAGTGAAAACCAACTCCCGTCAATTTCATGTCTGCATCCTAAGCCTGATTTATTGTACGATCGCGTGAATTCTCTTTTTTCTATCTATTGTGCAATCTTAACTATATATTTAAACTTAGAAGAAGCATTACTTTAAATAAAGGACTTTATTTATTTATTTTTATGACCTTTAAACAAAGATTTGATGTAAATGCATATTGAATCCTTATCAAATGCGCTCGATTTCTTCTTTAGAACATGGCTTTCTCATTTATAGAACCAAGTTGGAGCTCTGGGCTTGTCTTGTATAATCTCTCTCAAAACCATGTTAAATTTGGATTTCAATTTTCTGTAACTTTGAATTAAACGTTTTTTTTAATGTCACCAATTTCAATCCCATGCTGATGAATATGGCCCAGTGATTTCCAAATTCTATACAATCCCACAGTGATTTCCAAATTCTATACAATCCCACCATTTTTTCAATGGATTTTGAAACCTTATATTTAGATATCTAAAACCCATTTAAATTCATTCCTGTTTTGGATAAAACAAACAATAAAATTCAAATTTCATCAAATAATGTTTTTATTTTTTTATTATATATATATATATTTTGGCATCAAATAATGTGTTCAAGTATGGAATATTTTGAACTAATTTTTTTCCTTTTTAATTTTAATTTCAAGACATTAACTCTATGCAAATCGAATAGAGTTTTATTTGAAATTAGATGTTAGGCCTGGTTAAGATTAAGAGCTTGTTTAATGGGAGTAATATGCGTGGGTCAGATCGTGACCATAAAAGCACAAAACTGAAGCATTTAAGCGGGCTTAGCCCATTGATTAGATGGGCTATTTTTATTATAATCCATATACTGATTTTGGGATTCATCTTAACAAGCATGAGACAATTCGATTTTGAGTGCACATTATGCAATATGCACCGTAGAACATTCTTGAGGACATAATAACCTTCTTTTTTAAAAGTTAAAGTTATTCTTTACTTCATCTGTTTTTTTTTTTTTAGGAATTTTTTTTTCTCTTTTTATTGAATTATTTTATTTTATTTTGTATTCATAAAAATCTAAACATAAACTTTTCCTTTTCCAACAAAAGAATAATTGGAATATTAAATTTTTTGGAGTTAAATAAAAAAATTTAAAAATTCAAAATGTGTAGAAGAAAGAGTGCATACAGTAGACGTGCTCGGGTAATGCCACAAACAATCACTAATAATATACATAAATATAGTCTCTCTTCGTGGAGTGTATATATATATATATATATATATATATATATATATATATATATTTGGTTTTGCAGTTCAAAAGTAAGACTTTAAAAATTTACCTTCCGGATCTTTAACAACGTCGTTATGCCCCTGAGGGTAATAGAGTGTATATTTAAACAATTATCAAGTGTCAATAACAAATATTCATCATAATTTCAAGCCACACGAGTGACAACAACTTTTCTTTCCATTTTATATCAATAATTCATATATATATATATATATATATATATATATATATATATATATATCAATTAGATACAAGTCATAATTTTCTAAGGCCTTTGGTAATGTCATCATTTTTAATTTTCTGCTACCATTAAAAAAAAAGAAAGAATTGACAGCAAAAATTGCATTTGGTAACCATATTTTTGCTTTTCAAATTATTAAATAAGCTGCCAAATTTATTTATATTTTTTAAAGCACCAAATTGGTGTTTTTTTTTTGAATGCACGAGCCTGTTGGCTTCCTCTTTTTCACAGACCAAAAAAAAAAAAAAACCGAAAAGAAAGAAAAAAATTACGTTTCCAAACAGGCCCTTGCGTTGGTCACCATGATTCGGTAACTCGCTCGACTCGTCCGATTCGTTCTCTCAAAACCCCTTGAAAACCTTGTGAAAATTTGCAAAACCCCTACGGTCCATACCCGAACACTCCAGGACTGCAAGTCTGCAACTATTGGACATGTCTGTTTCCTTCTCTTCCCCACTACTATTCCCTCCAGTAGCTTCCTGCTCTGTAAGTTATCACCTACAATCTCTCTCATACTCTCTCTCTCTCTCTCTCTCTCTCTATATATATATATATATATATATATATATCGTAAACTGTTGATTATATATTCTTTCAACTATAAATCTTGTTTCAGAAACTTAGTGGAAATGCCCTTTCTGGGTCATGGAGGAATACACAAAGGATGAAGAAATTGGTGGTAAGAGCAGGGCCAAAGAGGATATCTTTTGACAAAGAATGCAGAGGGGCTTTACTTGCTGGGATAAATAAGCTTGCTGATGCTGTTTCTGTCACTTTAGGACCTAAAGGTATCTGGGTTTTTCTTTCTCTTTCTATTATTAGATTAAAAAAATTTGTAATTTGCATTTTACGATTCATTTTGATGTTCATTATCTCATAATATGATGAAATTGATGTTATGGGTAGCTTTGGATTTCTTAACAGAGTTCACAAAACATTTAAGACCTGAAGGTATTATGGTTTTCATGGTTTTTATTGGGAACTTATGGTATGCTTATTTGATTTTATTTATTTGCTTTTGATCATAATTTTTTTTCTTTTATTTTTTGATAAGTAAAATTGTATTAGAAAGCGTTCAAATGGGGATTTTATGAGAAAATGTTACCCTAATTGTAGTATGACAATATTTAATTTAGTTGTAGTGTTGAGATTTTCATAAAGTCACAATGCTTTGTTTTAGGGTTTGGTAGATTCAACTATCATATATGTTTAAATTTTATGATAAATTTAGGACCTATGTGATCTGGGTCTTCGTGACTGGCAGCTTTTTTGTTGCTGGTCTTATAAAATTTGAATCTCAAGCTTCGCTTGACTTTCCTTTTTGGTTTCCTCTTCTGTTATTGTTTTTCTGGCTGTTCTTTATTGGTTAAAAAAAAGGGTGAAAGTGGGAAGTTGAATTTGTTACTAATATGATAAGTCTTGTATTTGTAAAACCATTTTCTTTTTCTTCTTTAAGTATGGAACTTCTAGAGTTTCGGGGGTCACAGTATGATTACAGTTTTACAATGTCGTTAGCATGTGGCGATATGAAATTATGAATAAGTTGAAGTTTTGAAACTATTCGGGCATCAATGAGCAGTTGATGAGAATTCTGTGAATGTGTCTGTAAAATGTGTGAAGATTAGTGGCAGTGGGCCAATTAGGGAATGTAGAGTTTCTGAGGTAGCAAGTGGGAAATTGTAGCTAGATCAGAGGGGAGAGTACATGAAATTTGAATTGAGCGGAATATTTAGGAAACATTTATAGGAAATTACATAAAGGAGAAATTACTAAAAACCCTTCAAAAAATTTAGGTCCAAGAAACCCTTATGTCTTGGTTCTGCTATCCAGCATATCTCAAATGTTATAATATTACATGCATAAGGTGCAAATCTGGACTGCCATCAGCCTTTGTTAACATGCACCCTGATGTGGACAGCCAGTGCATTTTGAAGCCTTAGCAGGCACTCACTTTCTATTCTCAACTCTTTGCTACCGTTCAACTGTTTTTACAACCTAAGCAATTTGAAGCCGTAATTTGCTATCAACTTTGGGCCAATTTCAAAGCGGAAAACCTTTTCTTCTGGAATGTAAATGAAAGAATTCAATAAATGCTGGTTGACAGTTTTGAAGTTCTAGAAATTGAGAGTTTCTGTTTCTTTATGGTGGGAATTTCTCATCATCTAGCATCAAAGGTTAGATTTAGTTAATGTGGATTGTCTATATTTAAGAACAAACGAAAGGAAAAATCATGCTTAGTAAAAGATTTGATTTTTGTGCAGACTGGTATGAGATGACAGATACTCCATTTTACAAAATTTCTTGCTCTTCAATTGCCTTTGCCCTTTGGAGATGGAATACTTGATAAAAAATAATTTGGAAGTTCAAATTGACATGCCCAAAAAATTCAATGAATACTACAAAAAAGTATTGATTTGTGCCATAAATAGATTTGAAATGAGCTAGTATAGCTTCTCTATTGCTAAGTTCTCAGTTCATAACTCAAAGCCAAAAATTAACTCACCTGAAAACAAAAAAGACAAGAAAAGAATAAAAAAAGAGCTGAAACAAAACCATCAAGCAAGATGGTGTCAAAGTGTGGATGAATTTTTCACAAAACGTTTTCCAGACTTTTGTGTTTGGAAGTGACTGCCTACATATAGTTCTTCTGTTAACTTGCAATGGAAAGATTTTCCAAATTCATGAATTTGGCAAACAAACCACATACCACACAAGGACAAGTGTGTTTTAATTAGGTTGATTTCCAAATTCAAATTTGGTAAAGTTGTTGGCCATCACGAACATAGAAACGGGGTAATTATAGATTGAGTGAATTGCCAATGTTGTTATAGCTATGGAAACTTTACCTTCCTTATTGTCACTTTCTTGAATAAATGGATGGCTGTTGCATTTGGACAGACTGTAGACCCCATAGTTTCAGAGCTTGACATGTTGGGGGAACTTTTGTCCAAAAGGGATCTCTTGTTAGTGGAAGTAAATCGCTTTTAGTGATAACTTTTTCTTTGCTTGAGTTTATTCTGAAAGAAGCAATCAACTAATGAGGCTAATATAAGTATACTGGGGGTTGGGGATGGGCCAGTTCGGGGCTGGTTGTGGGAATTTATTTTGAGAAGTGAATAATGATCACTGATGGTTCAAGCATAAAATGGCATGCTTATAGTTCTTAAAGAGAGGGATAGAGGTACAAAATTAGTGGCAATTGCATCTGGATAGATTAAACACTTAATTTTATAGTGGCAGAGCTCCAGATGATGGGGGTACTTCTTTCCGAAAGGAATTTCGTGTTAGTGGAATGAAACAGAGTGGTGCTTTCCCTCTTTTTAGTTTATTCAAACAAAGAATCAGCTCAATGAAAATATAAAAGCAAATTGGGTATCTTTTGGGGGGTGGGGCAATGGGATTTATTCTGAGAAATAAATGAGGATGATGGTTCAAGTGTAAAAAATCAAAAGACATTCCAATGGCTGCTAAAAGAGTTGCAGATATCGTAAATCTGGGTGCGTATACTTGTCAAGGGGAGCTGAATAAGGGATGTAAGTTAAAAGTGTGTATTATTCTTCAACAACGTTTTATAAATGCTGTTGAATTGGGGTTATTATATGAGGCGTACAAGTCCAATTAAAAAAATACTAGAGTTATTGCATTAAGGCTTTCAATGATGGGAGCTAGTTTGGTTTGCTTTGAGCAAGTTCTCAGATCAAATGAAGGCTTGTGAGCAGAACTAATGTAATGAGAAAGTTGCTTTACCTTAATAAACTTGATACGGGCTAGGTGGCAAGCTGGACTCTATGCTATCATCTTTTATGCATATAGTTTTGGGGGCCTTGTTTTGAAGGACTTGCAAACTTTTAATGTGTGTCTTTGGGTGCTTTATGAGTGAAACAAAATTTCAATGAGACATATTACAAACACTACCAAGCATGTAATAAAGCTTCAACTATACCAAAAACGAGTCCAGACATTCTACATTTGATCCGCATGCAAACAGTTTCCAACATTCATGTAAAAACGATAGTGTGGGTCAGTGACCCCTTCAATGAAACGAGCTTAATATATTGGAAACTATAAATTTTAGATACATTAATCATAATAATTTTTTCAACATAGAAACTTAAAAATGATTTTAATATTTATAATGGTACTTCTTAAAATGAAATTATAATGAAACAATTTTTGGATTTAAAAACACCTCATTTTAATAGTTCAGAAGTTCTCACACTTCAAAGTTCAAACCTTTAAGGTTACAGGAAAAAGATTGATTAGCCTAAGAGCAGTTCCATTATATGATTACATGTGGTTTGACCAAGGCTAAGGCCTTAGATAGAGCAAAAGGGAAAAATAGGATTCATGTACCGACCCCAAGTAGTTGGGAAAAATGCTTGCTTTGTTGTCGTGGTGGTGATATTTTATTGGATCTTTAGGGTAGTGATGTTCATTAATATGATTATGCTGCTTATTGAAATGAGTAATGATCTGAATTTGAATTGTGCAGGGCGCAATGTTGTTCTTTCAGAATCAGGGACTTTAAGAGTAATCAATGACGGTGTTACAATTGCCCGAGCCATAGAGCTTTCAGATGCAATCGAAAATGCGGGAGCAATGCTAATCCAAGAGGTCATTTACTCTCTAGATAGACAATTCCCTTTATTAAGCAGATACCGCTGCAATTCAGACATAAAAAAAAGCCAATATATTTATCAAAAAAAAATTATTATATATATATATAAGGCAATATCACATATTAAGTGCCTATTCACAGGTTGCAACTAAGACTAATGATTTAGCTGGTGATGGTACTTCCACTGCAATCATTTTGGCTCGAGAAATGATCAAAGCTGGGTTGTTAGCTGTTGCTTTTGGGGCTAATCCTGTTTCTTTAAAGAAAGGAATGGATAAAACAGTAAAACAATTAGTCAAAGTTTTGAAGAAGCAAAGTTTTCCTATAAAAGGGAATGATGATATTAAAGGTGACTCTCTCTCTCTTTGATTTTTTTTTTTTTTGAATTTTTGTTTGCCTAAATGAAAATCTTCAAACCATGCTCTCTTTTTGCAGCCGTGGCTTCGATTTCTGCTGGAAATGATGAGTTTGTTGGGAACTTAATTGCTGAAGCTATAGATAAGATTGGTCCTGATGGTGTAATCTCTGTTGAATCTTCCTCATCGTCTGAAACATCTGTGATGGTTGAAGAGGGAATGAAGGTATACCATATGATTAATTTTTTTTTTCTTGTTTCATTGGCATATCATATGATTATTAATTAGAGAGCTCTTAACAATTGCTAAAGACTAAGAACATGTTAGTGGACATAATGGTACAGATGGAGTTGTAGATTCAGTCTGACATCAATACAGATCATGGTCAAAATTTGATGACCTCTTGGAATTCTGAAAACTTGAATTCACTGCAGCAATTGGGTTTGAAGTGGTTGAAATTTGTAATGGCTTGGGATTGAGACACTATGTTGAGCCTTCTATAATTTGTCAAATGAAAGCCTTGGGTATATGTCCATTTGGGTACCAACTTGTGGATTTGATCAAGATTTCTAGGACTAAAGTTGTATGTCAAAGATAATCTCATCCGCCAACTTCATTTTAAAGCATTCATTTACTTTTTTCAATATCCAAAACAATCCATAGATTATTAATTGAGTGGGTAGGATATTTTATTGCAAATTGAACTGTTCTGCATGCATACTATGCATACATCGCACTTATTTATTTATTTTATTTTTATTTTTTTGTTTGGCTGGAGAAGGGGAGGGGTGTAAATAACATACGCTGCACCGTTTTCTTTTGCAATATTGAAATATATGCTTGCACACACATGTCCCCACTAGGGATTGAATCCTCAGCCTCCCCTTTGGGGTGGTGGATTTTGGTGGTTACATTGCACTGTTGGCTGTATATTCGTTTGCCTTCCTGGTTTTTTATTTTATCTTCTCAGTTGTGGAATCATCTTCTTCTTTTTCTTTTTGTTTTTTATTTTAGATTTCTATTCAGGCATTCTTTCCCTACAGATTGACAAGGGGTATATGTCGTCCCAATTCATTACAAACCAAGACAAATCTACAGTGGAGTTTGAAAAGGCTAAAGTCTTGGTAACTGATCAAAAGATATCAACTGTTCAAGAAATTATTCCTTTACTAGAAAAGACTACCCAACTGAGTGTCCCACTGCTAATAATTGCTGAGGATATCTCGATGCAAGTACTAGAAACACTGGTCATGAACAAAATGCAAGGTGTACTTAATGTTGCTGTTGTCAAGTGTCCGGGATTTGGAGAAGGAAAGAAAGGTCTGCTTCAAGATATTGCTCTTATGACAGGTAAACTAACATGCTGTATTCTAATTCTAGTAAAAGATGTTTTAGTCATAAGATTATCTTATCCATAATGAAGATGTATGCGTGAGTACGTGTGTCTCACATTCTTGTGTGTGTGTGTGCATAAGTAAATGGTTTTAATTTGACATTAGGGGCTGTGTGGCTAACCCAAAGATCTTGCAATGATTCTGCTTCTTATTTATTCTAACTTAGATTTATGAGGGAAAGGCTTCCTTGAGGCTGTTAAACTTCCACAGCCTCACCTTTTCTTAGCCTGTTTTTCTGCTCTGACCTAATTTACTATGCAGTCCAAAATTTCATCCAGGTTGATAGTTTGGTGGTGAACTTTGCTGGACAGCTAACCATAGTTTCAGTGTCACCTTTGATCTCGGTCAATATTGGAATAAGTTCTAAAAGTTCTGATAGTTTGTTAAGATTTGGTTTTCAAACTATGTAACTTTTTCATTTATATAATTTGGTTGAAGTTCAAAATGAATCTATCCAAAAAGAAAACTTCAGAACTTATTGATTAGATAGTGGTGATTATGCATGTTCTTTACCTTTTTAAATTATTTTATTTTTTTCTACTCAAAAATAGTATTTGTTACAATATAAGTAAGCTCTTCTATGTCACTATGGGGTTTCATTAATTTGGAAACCTGTATTCTTCTTATTTTCTAGCAAAACAATTTTCATATATGGGCATTTGTATATATGTTCTCATGCCTGCGAAGACTGTATGGTGTTGCATTTGTTTCATTGGTGCAGTATCACTTATAATTCCTTTACTTTTCTGATTTCTGAACACATTCCTCATTGACATCTTTGTATTCTAATCAGGTGCCGATTTTCTCTCTGGGGATTTGGGACTGACCCTTAATAGTGTTTCCTCAGATCAACTTGGTATTGCACGAAAAATTACCATAACAAATAATTCAACCACCATTGTCGCTGACCCTTCTACTAAAGCTGAAATTCGGGCAAGGATTTTGCAGATAAAGAAGGATCTAGCTGAAACAGATAGTTCTCATCTGTCAAAAAAGCTCTCTGAAAGGATTGCAAAACTTTCTGGTGGTGTGGCTATAATTAAGGTCTGCAATACTTGAAAGTTAACATTAGCTGAACCTTTTGGCAAAAGCTTTTTTCTGCTGTTATTTGAAGGCCATCTCTCCCTAATGGTGACCTGCACTGTAATCTTTAGCTCGCTAATGAAATTGGCTCTTCAAAGCTTTCGTTTTGATTTTTCTAATTTGAAAAATAAAAAAAAAGTTTCATAGCACTAGCTCTGGAAGTATCTGATGTTTTTTTGGAATACTATAAAAAAGTTGATTTGGTCCAAATTTGAAGTCAAGTTTTCAAATGGCATAGTTCAAATAAAACCTCTAAGCTTTCTATAGCTTTTAAAAATCTAATACTTTCACTTTGGTCGTATTAAGATGTTGGTGCTCCTTTCTAGTTTATTAAATTAATAATAATGAATATTGTATCAAAATAGCGATTAAAGTTCAAATTTAAAGAATCTGTAGCATATGAGGCAACATATAATTTGTGATTATAAAGCAGAAAGTCGAGCTTAATTTAGATATTTTTTCTGAGTCATATGCAAAAGAATTTATGAAAAATGAGTTCGAGCTTGAATCTAACAATGTTCTAAGTTTTAATAGTGCAATTTTTCTTTTTTTTAAATGAAAATAGCTTTCTTAAGCAATGTGACTGGAATTTAGGTTGGAGCACACACTGAGATGGAACTTGAAGATCGGAAGCTAAGAATTGAGGATGCAAAGAATGCCACATTTGCTGCTATAGACGAAGGTATAGTACCTGGTGGTGGAGCTGCTTATGTACATCTATTGGAACAAATTCCAATCGTAAAGCAGTTATTGGAAGATCCAGATGAGCAAATTGGTGCTGACATTGTGGGGATGGTATAGTTACATTTTTCTCTTTCCTTTCATTGCATGTATATTATTGACATTTATGTCCAGTAAGAAAGTTATATTTATAATGCTACAAGTTAAAACTGTGTTTTTTTCACTTCTGCTTATTTTCAATAATGATATATATAAATAGAAGGACCAACTCATCCTTGGGGCAAGCTTCCATCTCTGTGTGTGTGTAGAACATGGTATCAGATCAAAGATCTTTTAAACCTCGACAAATAAATTTTCCTCTCCGTCTTCTTCTAATTTTTTTTTTCTTCTTCTTCTTCCCATTTTCTCTTCTTTTTCTTAAGTCTCTTTTTAATTCAAACCTCAAACTAAATCTAGAGAGCAAATCAGAAACATTAGAAGCTCTAATTTTTCTGCACGTCATAGGTGGAATTGATATTTTGTAGGAACCAGCGCCAGTATATGGCCACCTTTGTATGGACCCCTCTAGGCTTGCGTTGGCTTGTGCCATGTGTTAGTTTGTCATAGTTTGTGGGTTTCATGCTAAAATTCTAATTCAAGACTCGTTATTCAAGTGTGTCTGAGTTGTAGGTTAACAGTTTTCTGTTAGTGGTTAACTTTTTTTTTATTGGAGTTGCTCAGTGTGTAGCTTGGAAGTAATTTGAACATTATAGTGTGTATTCGAGGTATCTTCTGGGTTGCTTTAACAAGTTCGTGTACGAGTAACATGTACTAGACGTTGACAAATTGCCTGAAAGAGAAAATTGGAAGAACATGATTGGTATTTGACTAATCCTACACTTTGAAACATAATTCACAACTTCATTGACACAAAAATTCAGTAGTATTAACAAAGTTTTCTTTGATCTCGCATATTTACTTTAGGAGTAGGCATGTTCACGCATATCCCAAATACCAATACCTGTGCCACATAGTGTTCAAGCATGTCATACATCTACTCATAAGTGTCCAAGCATGTCATATTACTGCTCAAAAGTGTCCATGTAAAAACCTGAAGAGAGGGAGGGGGGGACAAGAGGAGGAGGTGGAGTTGGTTATAAAACTTGACCTACGGCTTGAGAGGAAAATGTGCATGCATGTTGTATGTTACAGTAGCGTGATGATTTCAAGATTTAATTCTGCCAGGATATTGTTGAAAATAATTAGCTTGAGCTTGATATGAAAATTCAAAGGTTCCAAAAATTTCATTGAATTGAGGCCTTGCCTATTGCATATTTTTTATAACACAAAACTTTGTCAATGATGAATTTCAGGCACTTCTTGCACCTGCAAAATTAATTGCATCCAATGCAGGAGTTGATGGAGCGGTAGTCGTGGAGAAAATTCAGGCTTGTGATTGGCATATTGGGTACAATGCGATGACAGGAAGATACGAAGACCTTCTTGTAGTCGGAGTAGTTGATCCTTGTCGGGTTGCAAGATGTGCACTCCAAAATGCAGTCTCCGTTGCTGGAGTAGTCCTGACAACTCAAGCTATTTTGGTGGAGAAAACGAAGAAGCCCAAGCCACCTGTTCCACTTGTTCCTGGAATAACTCCTTAAAAACCCATAAAATGGGAGGAGCCAGTAAAAAGAAAATCGTAGATGTGTTAGCTGCATTTGACATGGTTTGGGACAAAGCTTCCAAACACAAGCAGGTTTTGTGTGGACTTGAGATGCAGATAACAAGCTTTACACTCAGAGTTGTCAAACAGCGAAACAAATTCAGCTTGTTATACGAGTTCTTGGATTTTGAGAGCATGAAGATGATTTTTCAGTGGACAGGAAAATTTTGAGAATTTCTCCAAAATTAGGTGTTTTTTTTTTTTTTTTGAAACATTCCTCAACATTAAGTTTTGTAATATTGATTCCAAAACTGAACATGTATGCGTTCTATTATGTGCTTAAATTAATCTTCTTTCGGTAGAATTGTTCAACCATATAGCTGCATTTGACGATCAGTCGATTATGGAAGTAGAATTTTATTAGTTTGCTTCATTAACATTATTTATGTTCTGGTCTCTGCAGCTTCCAATTTTCATTATTTATAAATGTATGTCTTGAATTATTCACATTTTATTATTATTAGTATTATTATTATTTATTTTATTACTACTATGTTTGACAATAACTATCTGGCTAAAAAAAAAAATAATAATAAAATAAACTATCATGTAGTGCAAGAAATGAAATATTTTTCTATCATACCCATCTCAAATTTATTGTTCATCTATTTTACCTTATTACATGAAATACATATTGCGAATTGAAAGAGTTGTGGAGTCTATTGTCTAATAAAGATTCATTAATTCTGTCAAAAACAAATCGTAATAATAATAAAGATTCATTAATTTGATTTGATAATGTGGAGTCCCATTACAATTTTAGCTGTTTCAGTTTTATTAGGGAAATTCAAGCTCATTCTTAATTAATACATAATCTCATTCTTATCTGATAATTAATCACACTCTAATCTGATTAGTCTCCAGAGTCTAATGGGATAAAGCTTCTAGACTCTAATGGGATAAAGCTTGTGAATGTGAAAAGAATATGTTTGCGTTGATTAAAAAAAAGTGGGATAAAGCTTGTGAATGTGGTAAGAATATGTTATCGTTGATTAACAAAATTTTTTAGTTCTAAATTCATATTTAACCATTTTTTAAAATAAGAAACAAACACTCTCATATGTGAGAAATGAAAACAAAACACTCCATGCGTATGAAGGAATAGGGATGGAACTAACCAACTTTTTTTTTACGCACACCCACTCTACCACTTTCTTTCCACAGTCCCTACATTTCCTCGCCACTTCCTCCGTATTTTCCTCTTTACTTTCCTCTGGGACTCGATTTCATCGATCCTTCTTTACTTTTTGAATTCTCCACACTTGAAAGCTTAGTGAGCACGTAAGGCCAGTCTTGTCATTTTCTACCCCCACACCCTCTGGTCCTTTCTCTTAAAAATGTAATTTAAGTTATTAAATTTTAAAATGTAGATCAAATTAAGTAAAATAATACCCATCTCGTAATTTACACAATTTTTCTCAACAGGTGTTGGTCTCTCACTCCAAACACGCTTTCGTTCAAATCCTCACTATTTATGACATATTTTTGTCGCTCTTCCACTTTATGTGATTTAGATTTAGGTACTAATTTTAACTAATTTTTTTTAAGTTCTAAATTCGAACCCTGAATTTGATGCTCCAAATATGTAACAAATGGGAAACAAACACTCCATAAGTCCGAATGCGAGAAATGAACTATGTGCGTGTGAAGGAGAGAACTGACCAAGGTTTTACTTGCACCCACTCTACTACGGTACTACCACTTTCTTTCCACCGTGCCTACACATTTCCTCGTAAATTCCTCCGTGTTTTCCCCTCACTTTCCTCTCGGACTCGATTTCATCGAACCTTCTCGAGTACAGGAATCTACCAAACACCCTACATTTCCAATTCTCTCCCTCTAAAGTACTTTTTGAATTCTCTACAGTAGAAAAGCTTAGTGAGCACGTAAGGCCAGCCTCGTCATTTTCTACCCCCACAGCCCCACCCTCTTTTCCTCTGTATAAAAAACCCCTCTCTCACAGGTCACAGACCCTAACCCACAGATACACAAATACACACGGATCTTTCTTCGAGGGTTTGAGAAAATGGAGAGAGGTAACTACAGTCGCGGCGGGGGTGAAAGAGGTCGCGGTGGAGGTGGTCGTGGCGGTGGCGGTCGCGGCGGGAGAGACGGAGGGGGTCGTGGCGGTGGCGGTCGCGGCGGCGGTGGGAGAGGAGGTGGAAGAGATCAGCATCATCAACAGTATCAGAATCCGTACCATCAGCAACAGTACGCTGGTGGTGGTGGTGGTGGTGGAAGAGGAAGAGGAGGAGGGGGTAGGGCTTCAAGCTACGGTGGTGCGTATCAGGGTTCGGGCCAGGAAGGGGGTTATCGGCCGGCGCATGGGCAAGGTGGGGCCTACAGGCCGCCGTCTGGTCAGGGTGTGGGACCGGCGAGGCCAGAGTTCAGCGAGAGTTCCGGTAGGGGTGGGTATGGAAGAGGTAGTGGAGGAGGAGGAGGAGGAGCTTGGGGTGGTTCAAGCAGGGCTTGGGTTGCTTCAGTTCCTGAACAGTCTCAATCGGAGTCGCAGAGGACTCCTGAGCCTCTTCCAGGTATAGATCTACTCTACTTGTGAAGATCTACTCTTCTGATTCTAATTTTGTTAGAAGCTATTATATATATTGGGAAGTCAGAATTCATAATCGGTTAATAATAGAGGGATTTTCTTCGTAGAATGAGTAATCTGTTAGTAATAGATGCATTTTCTTCAATATTATGTTAGATCAGTTAATTATGGAGGGATTTTCTTCAATAGAATGAATAATCAGTTAATAATAGATGGATTTCTTCAATGGTATGTTAGATCAGTTAATAATTGAGGGATTGTTTTTTCAATAGAATGAATAATCAGTCACTAGTAGATGGATTTCTTCGATAGTATGTTAAGAGTTAGCCATTAATTTATTCATGGAAATGTTGACAACGTCTGCCTTAAAATGTATGGAATTATACTCATAATGTGATATGAGGGGAGGATAACTTGTAGCTATGGGTCTTTGGGTGTTGTTAGCGGAAGATTTTTGTTGATGGAATTGATTGTTAGGTTCTTTTGACTGTCAATTTTTTTTACTGAAAGTTCTACATGTGGATGGTTGGAGTTGTTCTTTGGTGTAAGGTTGTATGTATCCCAATATTATTTATTTATTTATTTATTGTAGATTACTTTTGCTCATGAGCTCTCTCTATGGTAAGCAAGATGTTATTTTCAGCATCATTGGGCCTAATAAAATCAAAACTTGGTTCGTTGTTTGCACAGATGATGTCATCCCAGACATACAGTCAATAAAGATCTCGGAGCAACGGCCACCTTCATCATCTATTTCAGGGAGTACTGACAAAAAATTGGTTCCAGTTCAGCGACCTGACAAAGGGGGCAGGAATTCTATTCGGGCAGTCAATCTTCTTGTTAATCATTTTCCAGTCCAGTTCAATCCAGAGACCATCATAACACATTATGATGTGGATGTTAAACCAGAGGTGACTTTCAAGGGTAGATCTGAAAAGATTCCAAAATACAAGCTTCAAATGATCAGGGAAAAGCTTTTCTCTGATGACCCAACTCGGTTTCAGTTGGCAATGACTGCCTATGATGGTTCAAAGAGCATTTTCAGTGCAGTTTCACTGCCCACTGGGAAATTCATAGTGGACTTATCAGAAGGGGAGGATGTGAAGAGAGCTTCTTATATTGTTACTATAAATGCAGTAAATGAATTGAAGTTTTGCAAGCTGAAGGACTACTTGTGTGGAAACCTATCATCCATTCCCCGTGATGTTTTACAGGGAATGGATGTGGTAATGAAGGAGAATCCATCTAGGAATAGGGTTTCGCTAGGTCGAAGCTTTTACCCTACAAAATTCAATAAAGAAGATGACCTTGGGGGCGGCATTGCGGCTATGAGAGGATTTCAGCAAAGTCTGAAACCCACCTCCCAGGGGCTAGCTTTGTGCTTGGACTACTCTGTATTGGCATTTCGCAAGCGATTGCCAGTTATAGACTTTCTTAAGGAGCACCTTTGGGGATTTAGTCTAAATGATTTCAGAAGGTGGAGAAGAGATGTGATTGGTGTATTAAAAGATTTGAGAGTCACAGTAACTCACCGTGTTACCAAACAAAGATTCAAAATTGCAGGGTTAACAGATCAAGACACACGAGCTATCACTTTTGACGAGATTGATCCTGAAGGCACTATTCCACCAAGGAAAACATCACTTGTTGATTATTTCAGGAGGAAATATGGTAAAGAAATTATTTACCAGGATATTCCTTGCTTAAATTTGGGGAAAAACAAGCAAAACTATGTGCCAATGGAATTCTGCATATTGCTGGAGGGGCAAAGGTACCCAAAGGAGGATCTGGATAAAAATGCTGGCTTGTTTTTGAAGGAACTGTCACTTGCTAAGCCAAATATCAGAAGGAATGCCATCTGTGAGATGGTGCGGGCTGAGGATGGACCTTGTGGGTATGAATTATTCCTAAACCTTTTATTTTTGTTTTCATTTAACATGGAGCTAACAGGTTTTATTTTTGTTTGAATTCTTGCTGAACCCTAATTATTTGGGGTGCTACATTCATTTAATCTGTAACCTGTTTTTGTTCTTTTCTCCCTTCATGTTTGAAAACTGTTCTCCCTATTGACTTTATAGGTTTTTTGCATCAAATTTCTTACTGGTTCCTTTTATTTTGTTTTTTATGTTTTGATGACGTGACCTCAAATGAACTTGCATGAAAAAAATATGTTCTTGGTTGTTTTTTTAGCTCATGAAACTATTCAACTTTTGGAAATTGGTATGTGTGAAGCTGGTGCATTCAATTATTAAAGAAGTGAACGGACCCAAATCTAATAGATTTTCATATAATTTGTGATTGGATGGTATTGCTCAAGTTATTTTGATGGCGTAAATAACAAATATTGTTTAATGTATTTTGTAAGTTGAATTTTGTTTTGCTTATAGATAATTTTGTTCCATTTATTGCCAGGGGAAATGTCACTGAGAATTTTGATATTCAAGTTGTCAAGAACATGACACCAGTGGTTGGGCGTGTTCTTGGGCCACCTGATTTGAAGCTGGGGGCTTCCAGTGGTAATGTGAAAGTTGATAGGGATAAATGTCAATGGAACCTTGTTGGGAAAAAGGTGGTGGATGGAAAACCAGTTGAGCGATGGGCATTACTAGATTTCAGCTCGTCTGACCGCCGTTTCGCACTTGCAGTTGACGATTTCATTTATAATCTCCAGAATCGGTGCAAAAATCTGGGGATCAGAATGAATGATCCTCTTGTATATCGTCCCGCTAATATGAACGTGTTCCTTGATGCTCGTAAGCTACGTCAACTCCTTGAAGGTGTTATGGAGGAGGCCAACAAAGTTGGCATGGGTCGTTTACAAATCATTGTGTGCGCCATGAGTAAAAAGGATCCTGGCTATAAGTTTCTGAAATGGATTTCTGAGACTGATATTGGGATAGTAACTCAGTGTTGTTTGTCCGATCGTGCCAACAAAAGACAGGGACAGGATCAATATTTTGGCAACCTTGCTCTTAAAATGAATGCTAAGCTTGGAGGCAGCAATTTTGAACTCCTTGAACGACTCCCAAATTATTTTGGAGGAAATGGCCATGTTATGTTCATAGGGGCTGATGTTAATCATCCTGGCTCCTATAACTCAACTTGTCCGTCAATGGCTGCAGTTGTTGCCACGGTGAACTGGCCAGAAGCAAATCGCTATGCTGCTCGTGTTTGCCCTCAAGACCACCGCAAGGAGAATATTTTGAATTTTGGAAGCATGTGTCTTGATCTTGTGCATAATTATGCTCGGATCAACAAAGTCAAGCCAGAGAAGATTATTGTTTTCCGTGACGGAGTGAGTGAAAGTCAATTTGATATGGTTCTGAATGAGGAATTTCTTGAGATGCAGAGGGAATTTCACAAGGAAAATTACTACCCTACAATCACTCTTATTGTAGCCCAGAAACGACATCAGACTAGATTGTTTCCCGTAAGCCAGAGGGATGCAGGTCAAGCTGGGAATGTGCCTCCCGGAACTGTTGTGGACACAACAGTTGTTCATCCATTTGAGTATGACTTCTATCTCTGTAGCCATTATGGGGGGCTTGGTACAAGTAAGCCCACCCACTACTATGTTCTCTGGGACCAGCACAACTTCACCTCTGACAAGTTGCAGAAGCTCATTTATGACTTGTGCTTCACGTTTGCTCGTTGCACCAAACCGGTCTCCCTTGTTCCTCCGGTTTACTATGCTGATCTCGTTGCATACAGGGGACGCATGTTCCAGGAGGTGGTGATGGAGCTGTATCCTGCTTCTGTAGCATCGTCGTCTTCCGGGATGACTTCATCGACAATGGCTTCCGCTTCATTTGATGATAAGTTCTACAAGCTGCATCCTGAGCTTGAGAACATAATGTTTTTTGTCTGAAAGGCGGTCAGCGTGGCGGCCACCGAACGGAATTTCCTTCTCTATTCACCACAGAGGAGGAGATTTTACCATTTCACCGTTGTTCCCAAACGCCGGTCAAATCTCCTTTCCTATAGACAGTAGTGAAGGAGTTTGTGCGTGAATCTAATGGGTTTTGTGTTTTGTTCTCTAGTTTATTATGGTTTTACAGTCACCGTGTAGGCACTTGGTATGGTAAGGCCATAGCCTCTTTTGTGGTCTTTTAATGGGTTTCAAGTCGTGGTATTTGCTTTGTGTTAAGTGATGGGTACGCAATGTCTTTGGGATTTTGTCTGATTTGTTTCACCGAACTGTGATGGGTTTAAATTATTATGTTTTTTTACTCTCTTATGGGGTTAAAGTTGTAGTAGTATGTGTGCGCTCTTTGTGAGGTCAATGATGGTTTGGTCTTCTTGTTATGATGGCTGATATATTAATAGTTATTAAATAAATGCCAAGTTTATTTTCTATTTAACTCTCTCTCTCTCTCTCTCCCGGGCTTTTCATATTTGTTTTGTGAAGGTGAGATGCTTTATTAGGTGCATAAATAATCTTCCTTATATTTGGATTGTTTGTGCCCTTTGAGCTTATATTTTGAATCTTTATTTAACAAACTAGCCTTTTAAATTTATTTAATAAGTTTTAATTGCTTGTGTATGGTTTATATTGCTTTTAATTACTCTCGAAGTGTAAGGTGGAGAGAGTTGTGCGTTTTTCAGCCTTTTTAAATTTTCTGGTAAAGGACAACAATATTCTTGAGGTTTGCTACAAGGACACACTTGTGAAATTTAACTCTTTTATTGAAAAGTGGACAAAGATATCCTTGAAGTTAATCGGCATAAAAAATTAATCAAAATATCCTCTGATCATTTAGTTGATCTTTTGAACTTTACAAATTACTAATAAATTGGATAAAATTACACTAGTGAATAATTTATACGTGCAGCCACAATGAATATAGAATATATATATACATCCCACGAAAATTCTCAGCATATGAACCCTAGCTTGCAATAAAAATGCAAATTCACCATTGTATTAATGCCAGAACAATCAATCCAGTAACAAAACTAAGTACAAAACTAAAATATGCATCAAATTAAGACCTTAATTTCAATATCGAGGACTCAAAATGCAGATTATCTGCCAGACCAGATGACCATATGCTTGCAACCTCATGACTCATCTTCTTCGGTCCGCAAACAAGAATCCCAACACTTGATTCTTTACGCTCGAACAAAATTTCTGCAATAATAACCAATTCCAGATTTCAATATCAAAGCCAATTCATAGTGTTTTTTTTCTTCTTCTTGGGAACACTATAATTTTATTCAAATATGATGGAAGAAGAAAAACTTACTCTTGAGGTCTGGCCTTTCACCATAGTGCACATTGGTAGATTGGACAAGTGACTCTTGTGGGAAGCTTTCCAGTTATCCAGCTGCATTTTAGATCAAAGAGTTTGGCGACCCCACCGGTGTTGTCCCTTCCATGTTTTGAATCTGCTTTGTTTCCATGACATTTCGTTTCCCATTCCAAAGAAAAAACCTATGATAGTTGTGATGGCTATGGAGACACATATGAGTAACATCTCTATCACATATCTTGAAGTAACATCTCTATCACAGGGCATTCACAGTTTGCTAATCTGGCGCCAAGGGGCGCTAATTTGTGGCCCTAAACTTTCAGGGGCAATTGCGTCATTTTGACAGGTCGGATATTTTGTAATAAATTTGATTTTAATATTAAGGGGCAATTTTGTCTTTTTATATGATTTAAGGCCTTGTTTGGATTGAATTTTTTTAAAGGGGTGTCATTGTCCCAAAAACATGTAAGTGTAATCTGTTTGTCCTTTTAACAAATCTCAAAAAAGTATGGCTGTATTTTACCTTAAATTTATTTAATAAGTTTTAATTGTTTCTTAATGGTTTATATTACTTTCAAAGGTGGAGAGAGTTGTATGTTTTTTCAAGGGCATTGTTGGAAGGAATTCTTTGACCTTCTTGTTGGAAGGAATTCTTTGACAGAATTAGGGGTGACAATATTTAACACTACACGCTATCACGAGTAAGAGGGTTTGGGTTTGGGTTTAGGCTAATCGTATTCGTGTCGACACAAATTGATCCACTAATTAAACGTGTCGTGTTTGACTTTGTAAACTCGATTATGACACGATTAATCTGATTAACTAAACGTGTCGTGTTTGACTTTGTAAACTCAATTATGATACGATTAACCTGACTAACCGGATTAACTAAACGTGTCGTGTTTATGTAAAAAATGACCCATTTAGCTAAACGCGTAAAATAAATATATCGTATTCGTGTCAAAAATTACTTAAACGTGTATTTTCATTTCTTGTCAAGTCTTAACCCATTTATTAATCAGATTATGAGTGTCGTAATGGTGTCCCAATAATATAACAATAACTCTATACAAACTGAAGTGCTCTAGTAAGTCCCAACACTACGGTAAACTTTACATATATTTTGATTAGGGTTGCCAACCTTACAACTTTAGCATGGCCAAATATGACTAGTTTATTAATGGAGTTTGTAAAGATTAGCTAAAGCCTTTCACTTGGAAAATAAACACATTTTTTTCCAAAGCATTCAAACCTTTTATTAACAATTCAATCATGTACATTTGTCTCACTAACAGTTACAAAAGAAGAAAAAAAAATTCAAGTACACTGTACACCTTGTACCATGGCAGGATAAGAAAGAGAAAATTACTTTTCCAAAAATAAAATAAAATAAAATAAAGTACAGTCACATCCCCTGAAATTTGACAAAATGACACACACATGAAAGTTAACCATTTTTTGGACAATGACACTCCCTTTCTGAAATTTCATCCAAACAAGACCTTAAATTATATAAAAAGACAAAATTACCCCTCAATATTAAATTCAGATATATTACAAAATATCAAACCTTACAAAATGACGCAATGGCCCTTATTCATTTTTTCTCTTCTTTCTCTTCCTATCACACCATCTGTGCCTCTCTCTCTCTCTCTCTTCTCTATATATCTGCTAATATATATATATATATATATATATATATATATATATATATATTATACTACTACTTTTTTTTTTTTTTTTTTTGGCAACAACCACCAAAAACAACAAAGAAACAATCCCACCCTCACCCTCAACCAACAGCATCATCTGCCAAAAGCCTAGAGATAAAAGCTGGGATTAAAAGAAGCACCAAATCCTCATCCATGGTAGGCCGTAATAGACCAGCTAAAGCATGAGCCACCGTATACCATCCCTTCGAACATGTGCCAATGAAAACAAAGAACAAGCCTGCATCTCTTGCCTGAGCTCAGACACCAAAGGAAAGCACTCACCATCAGGACATCGCACACCCGCAATAGCTTCCACCACCACTTTAGCATCCATCTCAAAGCAGACCTGTTGACAGTCAAACTTTTTGGCCCAATACAAAGCACGATACAAAGCAAAAGCCTCAGCTGCGTTCACGGACAAGGAAGAAACCGGTTTAAAAATCACTGCTTGAAGAACAGAGCCATCAGAATTCCTAAAAACCGCCCCTCCACCTCCTAACAAAACGGATTTGGAAAAACAAGCATCCACATTACATTTAATCATTCCATGCGACGGCCGTATCCAACGGTTAGAGGACACTATACAATTCTTAGAATAATCAATCGCTTGGCATTTTTTTTGCACATTCAGAAATTCCCACATCCGATCCGTAACTAGATTAGCCACCACCAAAGAATCCCAAACTTCCTTTTCAAACACCAATTTGTTTCGAGCCTTCCAAATCAACCACACACAAAAAGCAGCCAACCCTCCCACAACCTCTTTATTCTCCTTGGAAAGCAAAGAATCTCTTGAAATACTATCCCACCAACTACGAGTCGAGCCAGTCGTCCGATCCCTCCTCCGCCGCCAGATCAAGGTTTGTATTCGTAGGTAGATCAAGGTCAAGGTCTGTATTGCTGTCCTTATCTCCGGCGTCGGTGTCAGAAAGGGAGAAAGGTTTGGGTTTGGGTTTGATCAAAGTCAATTAAAACTGGAGTTGTGACAAACCTGATGAAATTGGAGTTGTACCGAACCTGATGAAATTAGAGGTTAGGGCCATGTTCGCCGGCGAGTTCTTGAACTCGCTTGATTGCGATTGGGGAAAAGTTATCGAGATTGTCGATCACCACGGCCCTGTATCCACCCAGCAATAGTTGAAGCACCATGTGACTTTCAATATACCCAGCACCACTAGTCACCAAAATAGTATGTGCCATGGTTAATCGGTATACAGATACTGTACTATATCTATGCGTACATATGTGTATGTATAAAGGAATAATTGTTTTTGTGTATAGAATATAGAGAGATCTGAAATTTCAGAATAGACGAGAAAGAGAAGAGATTTGACAAAGTGAGACACTGATCTAGCTACAGGTTTGGGTTTGGGTTTGGGTTTGAAACTTAAAGGGGTGTCATTGTTAAAAAAGTGAGTAACTTTCATCTGTACGTTATTTTGCCAAATCTTAGAAGGTGTGACTCTACTTTTTTTATAAAAAAAATATATAAAAAAAATGATCAGAGAGAAATTACATATAAATTGCTTTACATTCTAAACACCAATAAAGTATATTAAGTTATTTTTATTTTTTTATTTTTTCATAATCAAAGTCTATCGAGTTTCTTAGAACTTTTAAATATCTCAAATTTCGTTTAACACCTTTATAATGTGTTACTATGATTTTTTTTATTCAATTTAATGAATTCATAATTTTCTCTATATAAAAAAAAAAAAAAAATTACATTCCGCCTCAGGGAGTGTTAGTTTACACGGAAATTGTTTATTAATTTGAGCTTGTTTTGCATCTTTGAAGTCGTTATGGGGCATTATGTATCAACTACTTCATTAGTCACTCTATACTCTTTAAAAGTCTTCTACACTGCCTCACTGCAGATAGTCATGAAACTTAGAATTACATGCGTTTGAAGAAAAAAAATATAATAATAATAATACTATTTTAATAAATTTACAGCTGAACTCTTTCACATTTAGAAAACAAATATATAGGTAAAACTTGATAAAACAAATATAATGATTGTGCTAAACATTGTCAACTCACCAAAGTCACAATTTAAATAGAAAGAAAATCATTTGTCTAGCTAATAAATTTTTAAATATTCAAAAAAGAACCATGCATTTCCTTTTGAGTAATGCTTAGATCCGACAAAAAGTGTGGGTTATACCCATTTAACTAGACCCGTTTTTTTTTTTTTTTTTCTTCTCTCTCTCTCCTTGTTTCTCTCTTCTGCCATGGGGCTAATGTTTCCTTTAAATTTTTTGCTTCTCTCACTCCCATCTCCCAAGATAATTTTTTGTTGAGGAGTGCTATTTACAGTCGCACAAGCGATTGTCCATTCACAATCGCATCTCTTATTGGTTGAAAAATTAATTATAGAAGAGGTAATTAATGCGTCTTTTCCTATTTTATTGGAACTATGAAATTTCAACTTTTTGAACCAAATTACCCTTTTATATTTATTCTTTCTTTTGTTCTATCCTTCTTATACCTGTACACCTATATAATCTTGATTCTTTCTTTACTTACTTACCTTATTCTTTCTTCCCTCTTTTTTTTTCAATTGTTTTTAACTATTTATATACTTGGTTTCTTACTATTTCTCCCCCCTATTCTCTAGATCCATATTAAAGAGAGAGAAAAAAAAAAAAAAATCTTATGTAAATTGATTGTTTCTTTCCCTTTTTTTTTTTTTTTTCAATTATTTCTTTTTCTTTGTTCACACACATATATAGTAATTTACTATATTGTGAATAGATTAGAAAACCATACTTTTCTTGGTTCACATATTAACTAAAACTCAAATTTTATAATATTACATCAATTAAAAAATCTATCAAGGTGAACATATAAAGTTAAAATATATGTAACAAACAAAGGAAAGAAAGAGGAAATAATATAAAATGGTAATTTGGTCTTATAAGTTGAAATTTCATAGTTCCAATAAAATAGGAAAAGATACATTAATTACATCTTATATAATTGATTTTTCAGCTAATAAGAGGTGCAACTGTGAATGGACAGTCACTTGCACGACTATGAATAACATTCATCTTCTTTGTTTCTCTCACTCCCATCTCCCAATGTCGGGCCCTCACAACATACAGAGGCTCATGAATCAGAAAAGTAAGCAAAGGAGATGATAAAAATGTAAGATAATTCTAGAAGAGTTGGTTTGATTGTCAAATATTGTTTTCTTTGAAGTCTTAAATTAAATTTGATTAACGAAATTCAGAAACTGTTTGGGATGCTTTTTTTTTTTGCTGCAGTAGAGGGATTCCTCCTTGACTTTGTACATTTTAAAAAATTTATGTTTTGTAAATATTTTTTTGCCCAAGACATCAAACTAAATGTAAAATTTTTTATAAATGTAATAGCGAAGACATAAATTTGCAGCACAAAAAAAAGCCGAACCAATAGAGAAAGATAAATAGAGTACATGATAGCAAATACAATAAACCAAAACTTAAGCCTATAAAATTGCAGAATCAATAGAGCAAGAGAGCAAAAACTCCATTCCAAGTTCCGGTTCATCCTTTTTTTCTTGAAGTTCTTTTTTTGAGGAACACTCGTTAGGAGGAGAAGGACAATCATCTTCCATATCAACTTCACATCTATTCAATGGCTCACTGCTTAAGCTTATGTTATCCATCTCCTGCATTAGTCATTGAATACAGAATTTTAAGCTCTTGTGAGAGGATGCATTACAGAATACTTCAGTTCATATTCTTCTATTTCAAATATTTTCTATTAAAGGTTATCACGTAGAAGGAAAGTCTCTTCTCCGCGAGTAGGAGTCAGGAGTCAGTTATGCAATCAGTTCTATTAGCTTTCATCAGTTGGGTCCAAAGTAAACATAGCAAAACAAGTACTCTCTAAATGACATTAAATAAACACTTAATACTTATTATAATAATCAGCATTATCCGGAGAATGTTTCTTCCGTTCTCCTAAAGAACATACTATATATATATATATATGTAAATGAAAAATAAAATTGAATGAAACTTCACCCTAATACTATCAATACATTGTTTTTCTAATCAAACAGAAACCTTTGTTTTTGAAAGGAAAAAAGCCCAAAATTTGAACATAATTAAACTTGAATTAAACTCATTTTGAACAAAAATTCAACAATACCCATAGTTGATTTAAGCTTTTTGAAAACAGAAAAAATAATTTGCATTGGAAAATATAATGTTTGAACATATCTGCTTCAAAAATGCCAATCAATCCTTGCTAAAACCAAAACACTGTAAGAAATCAATAGGTTGCTTCCTAGAGTTTGGATTTGTGAATGGAGTCGACAACGTAAAACGGATATCTGAGCATGATGTGAGAGAAACAAAATAAGGGTAAAATCTTCAAATCAAAACAAGGGTAAATTTCTAACCTTCATGGAAAGAACATGAATTCATTGTAATGCATAAACCGGGGGGAGAAAAAAAATTCTGCAAATTGTAGCCTTGCTTTGAGATTGGGTTTCTCTTCTGCTTCTCTTCTTTTCATGTCTCTCGGTGTTGAGTTCTACAACTTCACTACTTTCTCTTTTTACATTTTTAGCATCTCCATTACTATTCTACAAACAAATTTCATTATCTCCTATTTAATTACTTTTCTAATTCATGAGCATTGGGAGATGGGAGTGAGGGAAACAAAAAAAAGAAAAGAAACATACGCACATAGGAGGAGAGAGAGAGAGAGAAGGAGAGAGAAAAAAGGGGTCTAACTCATGTTTTATATTTTTTTAATGTAAAGACAGGTGGCAAACCCTTATTGGCCCAACCCAGATTGGTGGACAATTTTTGTCCTAATAAGACAGGATCCAAGCATTACTCCTTCATTTTCCCTTCAAATTTGTCTTGTTGCAATTGTTAGTTGATTTTTTATTTACAAGGTTTAATATGTCTGCCCCAAGCCAAATTCCTGGTGCTCCGTCCCTGTATCTATACATTTATATATAGAGAGAGAGAGACATGCAAATTACTTTAAAAAAACAATTCTCATTGTTATATAGTGGTCAGTGAGACTCAAGACATTGCAATGCCAAACATGTTAAGCCCCTCTCCACAAGCAACAGCTCATGCATGGATGCATATGCATGATACTGGAGGCTTAATTTACATTACAAATACATATATATGATGGCGATGGAGCTTAAATTAATCGGCTTTGCGATTACCCTGAGCATTCCTGGTAAATTGAGTATTTAAAGTCCGCCCCTGAACACGGACCCCATCCCTGGCGTGAACTTGCCTTGTTGAGCACCACCATCATTTTCAACGCTTTTTGCATCACCGCGGTTGACTGGCAGCTTATCAAATGCAGGTACTCTAACGGGGCTGCGTAATTCCGGCGTCGGATTTGGAAAGTTTTTTCCATTACCGCCGCGATTGATTGGCAGAGGACGAAAAAATCCAGGTATAATGGTGATGCGTTGATCTGCCGGCTTTCTGGTCTAGCCTGGTGGACGGTTAAAGGCGCCTGAAGCCATGCACATTACGTGGGACACAAGCAAGATGGCAAGGACACCAATGCACACCACCTTCTTGGGTGGAAATGCCATCTTGATTGATTGATTGATTGACCACCTGTGTTGTTAATAATGTGACGAAATGAAGAAGAAGAAGAAGAATATGATGTATTTTTAGGGGGAAAAGTTAATTAATTTCTTGGTTTGGATTATTTTGAGGGCCTTTTTGGATTGAAGAGTTTGACTTTATATAGTATATTGGCCGGATTAGCTATTTGGAGTTAATTACTTATTCAGGTATATCACGAATTGTGATTGCAATTTCAAGCGTTGTTTGACTGTAGGCTGACATTACCATAATATTATTATAATATAGAGATTAGTCATATAAAATTAGTCCAACAGGACTTTGCTATCGTTACTTGTTAGTTGTGCCAATATAATTTAGATCCAACATTAATTTTGTGATATTTATTTGTAATTTAATAAGTAAAAAAAAAAATTAGGTACTCAGACAATATTGAAAATATAATAATAAGAAAATTGATGAAGAAAAAAATGATTAATTTCCTTGGCCTCAATGACCTTTACTTCTTTTGATAACAAATATGGTAAGGTAGATATATATATAATTTTTCAATGGTAAGGTAGATATTGAGATGTTTTTAATTTACAATACATTTAATTTAAAGGAATTGACTTGGCAAATAAAAAGATTTGTACACGTCACCAATTTGTAAAAATTTATTAAGTAAGAATATGTTAGAAATCAGACTTATTTCAATGTGTTCTTATTCATATGTTACTAAAAAACAACAGAAATTTTCAACAACACAAAGTCAAAAAATAAAAAATAAAAAATATATCAACAACATAAACACAATCACCTATATGCTCTTATTTCACTTGTTCTTAATTCAAAAAGTTCCTAGATATTTAACATCACTACAATTATTTTTTTTTCAACTGTCAACATGTATATTTTGAATATAATAAAGAGACACAAACTTTAAAAGCTTGAAAATATTAAAAGTACCTTTTAGTATTTAATTAGATCAATTAATCATAAAAGGGTAATAATGTCATTGTGGTGTTTTTGTTAACTTTCTTAAATAAGGGATCAGATTGTATCCGTTTGTAATAAACCCAAACCTTAAGCGATGCCATAATTTTTGTGCTGCAAGAAATACCATTGTTTTCGGATCAGAAACCCAAACCTTAGATAATGTCATTATTTTTGTATTCGCAAAAAACATCATCGTTTTCGGATCACATTGAAATAATTTTTATGATAGGTAATGGAATTTGTTTCTTCGAATTTGAATTGCTTTCTCAAATAATATATATGCTTAAATAACTGTTCTTATTTTTGTTTTAAAATTCTCGTAGTTGAGATTCATCAGCCAAAATCATCGAATGACTCAAGTGAACAATTAATAATGTCTTATCCACAATAATTTATACTAAGACTGTTCAATAGTATATGATATAGATATTTGATCCACAAAAAGCAATAATAAGGCTGTGTCTCTTGTGTGTCGTCAGTGTGTGTAAGAGAAAGAAAGAAAAGTGAAATAGAGACTAAATAGTAAAACTTTGACACCGATTCATTTTTAAATTTGATAAGTGATTTGTATCGATTAATTTATATCGACTTTATTTGAGTCCGTTACACCGCAATAACGATCGTGATCATGAATTCGTGATCAATGTTGCTAATCATAATAAAAGTTAGTAACATTTTAAGAAATAAAAATAATGTATATAAATTTAAACACAATGGTACTAACGCCATAACAAACTAGAGATAAATATTATGTTTACATTCTAAATAGTAATAAATTCTATTATACTTTAATAAGATTGTTAAGTCCAATTTATTAGATTAAATGTTTTGATATTACTTATAAATAGCTCGAGTTTTCATTTTCCACCTTTGTAATTTTTTATTATATTGTTATTCAATTTAATGAATTCCTAATACCATCTTAAAAAAATTAGCTTAAATTATAATAAATATTGTTTACTTGAAAATTTCGTAATAATGTTCATATAAATTGATGAAAAAAAAAATTCAATTGCTATAATAATTATAGTTAAAAAAAATGATAAATTAGGCGAAATTTTATTTTTAATTTGAGGAGGTAACTTACAACAATCTTTCAAATTAAAGCAAATCATATGTATTATATATAAATAAATATATGTACAGCGTATGTATAAATATCTCACGCGCTTCCATTTTCAAATCAAAGCAAATCAAACTCTCTTCCCACACGTCAAAGATCAGTCTACCGATTTCTTCGTCACCAGGTTAGACCAAAAACGTAGATATTTGTGTGTGTGTTTGTGTGTGTGCGAATTTACCTAAACCTTTTGCATGTGATTTGATTTCATTGTAGATATATCATTATGAATCTTTGATGAATTTAATCGAACTTTCAAACAGATCTCGCTTTTAGTTTGTAAATTTTGATCAGATCGAATCGTAATGTTTATATGCACCTATATTTGTGTTTGTGTATGATATATATTGCGAGTATTTTGATTCCTGACAAAATTTAGGAAAATAGGGCGAAAAGAAAAGAAAATCAAGAATCGAATTGTTTGGTTAGGTGTTCTTGTTTCTGAGCATTGGATGAAATTTAGAATTTTAGTTTCTTTTCTTATCGCACGATTTTTCTGAACAACCAAATGGTACATTGTGGTAAGGTTTTGTAGTTTGAGCTGTTCTTGTTGGTATGTGTTAGGTTTTTGAAGCATTAGGTCTGGGGTTGAAAAATCTTGTTAATCCTACTCTTGGTTCCTGTTTATGTGTGAAATTGAGCGGATCGTATTAGATTGAAAGATAGCGTAGACAAGAGTTTCTCTCTCTAATTCAATGCCTGGAGTAGAGGACTAGAGGCTCACGCTTTGGAAGGTGTTTGACTCTCTATAGAAAATTTTCACATCACAGGTGAAGTCAGATTGTTGGGGCAGACAATCTGGTAGCAAATGCTGATGTAGAAAGTACGAGCAAATGCCCAGGTTGCCAGAACTAGCTGCCATTAATTGCCAATGGAAAAACCTAAAAAGAACACCTCCCATTCCAGCTCAGCCAGGGTGCCTATTTTTGCACAGTAAACATTTTTTTTGGGAACGAATAGAGTTATGAAAATCTTTCATGTATAAACCTTGTTTATAGTAAAAACTTTAATTTTAAAAAATTACTTTCAGTATTAAACCAAACACCAGATAATGTTCTACATGTAAAATGTTCCATAGGAATTTTTTTTTTATGAACTAAAATATTCTAAGTTGAAACAGACGGAGCCTAAATATGTATTCAATATAAGAAACTAGAGTATAATGAACAATATTTTTATTTTGAAAAATGGATTCATTTCAAGCTTTTCAAATTGACTATAGAAGGATTGGAAACGAAGTAAGTTTGCATAACCTGAATGTGACTGAGATTTCTGAGAGAGAGATAGAATAGAAGAGTCCAATGCATCGTTGAACTATGCTTCCAGTGAGTTATACTACTGGAAAAAGTAAAGAAAGCTGGATATTCAAGAAAATATGCTCCTCAGTCTTTGGGTAGCCTTTACACAAATAAATACTTGGCGGAGAGCATGACACTTGAGCAAATGACTGTTGGAAGTCTCTCATGTCTCTTGAGCTGGGAGTCAAAGGAAACATTTAATACGAATCAAAGCATGAATTTTCCATAAAGAATTCCAGGGAAGCCGTGGAAGAGAAGGTGGCTCTAACTTTCTATGAAGCCATTCATTAGCAGAGCCTACAGTTAGTTTACCTTGTCGGCGAGGGCCCCATGCATTTTGTCACGGTGGAAGTGAAATTCTCCAAATGTGAAGAGAAGCTTACAAAGGTGGATATGGTGATAGGAACTACATTACATTCCTTTGAGAAGGAGGTTAACAAAGACGTCAATGCACATGAGAGTAGATATGGAAACACTGGGAGACAAATTTTATTTTATTTTATTTTATTTTATTTTTTTCACTTGGAAAATATGGGCATTTGTTGATATGAAACTAGATTATGGTTTTAAATAGAAAAAATAGTAAGAGAAAAATAGTATATTTAATATATTAATATGTGCCGATTTAAAGTTTTTGTTGCGTTTTTGCTAGTTAAAATATATTGAACAGCAAAATAGTTGACTTGCTTGTAGCATGCATCAGAGAAGAGCTTATTTATCATCTTGTTAGTTTTTTGGGCTTGATCATTTTGTTTTGGTAATGATTGTTTCCTATTACCATATTGAGTCCAAATGTTATATTTCCGCATTTTTTTTTTTTTTTAAGTTTGTTTCTAAGAGACAAAATAGTATGCAAACATCTTTCAAGTAAGATTGGGTAAATTTGTTACCTAGCATATTGAACTAGAGGGTAGGGCACAAGAAAGGTGCTTTAAAAGTGAGGTGTTCATTGTCATTTAACTGAATATAAATGGTGGTAGGAGGTGTGGAGGTGGTGATAGCAGTGCTCGAAGTGCATACTGGCTTGGCCCTACACTGGTAGAAATAAAGGTAGGTGTGTGTGTGTGTGTGGGGTGGTGGTTGGGGGGGGGGGGGGGGGGGGGGGGGGTGGGGGGGGGTTGGTTGTGTTATTGGTGGTGCAATGTGGGTGGTGACTTTGTTAGGTTATCAAGTCACGTGTTTGTCAAGTTATATTACACAAAACTGAAAACTGAGTTGTAGTTGAACAAAACATCTAACAGTAAGTCTCTATGTTTACAACCGGCTTCAATGAATATGAAGCGACATTAAAGACTGTATGAATAAATTCATCAAGCTCAATCACATGGTTATGTAAAGGTAAGATGAGACCTTAGCAGCAGGAATCTTATTTCAAAATTTATTAGATAGATGGACCTCCCACAACTTAGGCTTAAGCATAAAAAAGGATTTAAATTAAAAGAACTAAAATATTTTCAAAGAAGGGACTCTGATAAAGTGAACTCTAACATGGTTCAATCTGACAGTTCTGACTATTGGGTTTTTTTTTTTTTTTTCCTTAAAGTAAAACAGGAAGGAACTTTTGAGGGCCCGCTCGATCAAACCTTTCAATTTAAGAGTGCAGAGTCGAACAACGAATAATTTGTTCAATTGGATCTATCAATCAAAGGCTATTAAGTAGCTCGATCGATTATTGACAGAGAGCTTTTTTAATATTATGAGCTCCATATATTTAGCTGATTCAACTTTTTAGTTTTGTTTAGGACTCCTATATTGACTATATATATGCATGATTATAGTCAATCTAGGGTGATGTATGAGTTTTTGAGAATTATATGGAGAGAAAGTATAGAGCTTTGATATTAAAAATAGGTTTCTCATAGTTAACCACAATTCATATGTGATTGAGTAAATCAGAGCAAGGAGTAGATTTAAGATCATAATCAACCGGGTACCATTGAAGAACAAGGAGGAGACGAACAACCAAGGAGAGCAAACATTTTTCAGAAAACAAATTTGTTGATCGACAACAATGGCGTTTGAGGGAGAACAATGTATTTGGATCAAATGTAAGTAGGTGATTGTAGGAAGTAGAGTATGACACCAAGACTTCAGACCTTTTTCTTATAATGAATTGTTCATGCCTGGACCGAAATCCTGTGCTTGATCCCTTCTAGGGTTTTAATGTAAAATTAGGTATCTCTATTTTAATTTGATTTACTACTTTATGTGTTTGAATGCGTATATGTTCTTGATTGGTTTGATCGTTGGGACACTGAGTTAAATATTTAATTGGGAATTCAATAATTATAATTGTTTAAAAATTAGAATTCAATATCCATAAGATGTATTCATCCCCCTTTATGTTTGGATTAAACCTGTGCATACTCCAACGTATCAGAGGTTTTGAGCCTGGGGTGGCGGTTCTCTCATCAGGCTTCATGGTAATGGTAGCTATGGTTGTGTAATGTGATGAAACTGGCAGTGATGATGGGAGTGGCATTAGGGTGGTGGAGTTGAAAGTAGTATAGGGTTGTGGCAGCACTAGTTGTTGGGAGATGATTTGGTGGTGAATTTTGTCCTAGTTTTGGTGGTGAATTTTGTCCTAGTTGTGGTGGTAGTAATTATGATGAGTGATGGTTGTGACGATGGTAATATTAATTTGATTTATTGTTGAAAAATTTGATGGAGTAGATTAAATCAGGTTTTACAGCTTAATATCCACGATGAATATAAGTAGATTTTATCATTTTGCAGTAATTATTTCAGTATCCGTTGATTTCTTTAGTGATAGAATGCTGGTGGCGGCGCCAGTTCTGAAGTGGTGGTGCTTATAGTGGTACTGATTAAATCTGATTAAAATTTTCTTTTTTGAAGCTGCCATCACATAGTATGTTTCTAATTTTTAAGTATGGTTGAAATTACGAAGTCATTTAAGTAAGTGGCATGCATTTTTCAGCTGACGAAACTCAGGAAATGTAAGCTTTGTTCTTCTGATATATAATACTGGGTGAAAGGAATTCTTTTTATTTTGAAGGATGGATTTTAGATAATTTGGTTAAGAGCATGATCCAGTTTATTTAGGAGATGATGAGTTTCTAAGAAATTTGAAGGCAATATGTGGCAGGATTCAACAGAAAAACCAAATTCATGTGGGAGGTTGATAAGTTTGAACCTAGATTGAGTTAGCTGTTGAAGGGTTGCCAATGTACTTTCTGGGATCATCATTTGTGTTTAATTGTTCAACATGGTAGCAGACATGCTTTGGGTTTGACTTAAGTAATATAGAAGCTAAAGTGCAGTGCTACAGATGTATTTCTTCAGTTTTATTCGATATATTTGAGTATGGCTGTATTCATGAATGCATTAGAATCTTAATGGTGTTACTGCATGAATAGGGATTTCTGGGATATATTTTGTTCCGTGGCTTATCGATTATATTTTATTTTTCAGCTCTTAATTGCTTCGAAAAGCTGATAAAAATTCTTTCAGGTTGGATTATATTGGTTGTGTAAACACATACCACATATTGGTTGTGTAAACACATACCACATATTGGTTGTATATATTTCCAATTACAGGCTGATTATCTCTCATTTTTTATATTCATGCCAATAGATCATTAAAATTCCTGATTCTCATATCTTATCAACTAGGCTTGCTAAATTGCTGTCCTTTCTTGTCAGATAAGAGGGTGAACAACTTGCTCTAATTAAGAGGCAGGAGTGTAGAGATGGTGAAGTTGACGATGATAGCTCGTGTTACTGATGGCCTTCCATTAGCAGAAGGACTGGATGGTGGCGGTCGTGATCCACAAGATGAATTCTACAAGCAGCAGGCCAAATCTATATTCAAGAACCTGTCGAAGGGTCAAAATGAGCCTTCAAGAATGTCATTAGAAACTGGTCCTTATGTTTTTCAGTATCCTGTCTGTTGTTGTGTACGGTTTCCATGCATCACTCTTATGGAATTTACCATTCATATGATCAAACCACTCGTGATCTTGATTTTTTATTTTTATTTTTATTCGTTTCTATTTCTATAAAGTTTTTATTTCTTTTTAAATTTTAACTTATTTATCTAATATTGAGGTCTGTTTCACTGGCTTGATATTCTTTGCATATCATCAGAGGAAATTCAAGTACAATTTAGCATATCAATGGGATTCTCTTCACGAATTTAAATTTGAATGCTGATAGTTTTGCTCTTAGACCGTACCTGGTGAGAGGGACATAAAAGGGAGATGGTAAACCCAAGAATGAAAGCACATGTTCAGGTTCAATTGCCATCTTATAATTTAAGCTTTCTGTTGGAATCTACTTTTGTGGTTTACAATTCTGTGCTTTTTGTTTTTGTTTTTGTTTTGGTTTTGTTTTGGGTAGGGGGTTTGTATTATCTTGTAAACAAACATTACTTAAAAGGTCCAACTGGATAAGCATGCAATTGTAGAAACATTGTACGTTGTTGTTTGTCAGATTTTAATGAATTTTGAAAGAATGAAACAGTTTGACATTGCTATTTTTCTTTTCGTTTTTTTGTTTTGTCTGATTGCCAATTTATTTGAGTAGATCTGCAGTTATTATTTCATCACAGTAATATCACGTTCAAAGATGAGAAAGTAGTGAATTCCATGACATCACATCATTTTCATTTAATTTTTGTTTTATCTTTAACACGAGTTTTCAGCTATATTATTGAAGGCCGTGTTTGTTATTTGACGCTGTGTGATCGATCTTATCCAAAGAAATTAGCTTTTCAATACCTGGAAGAGCTCAAAAACGAGTTTGAGAGAGTCAATGGTAGTCAAATTGAAACTGCAGCTAGACCCTATGCATTCATCAAATTTGGTATGTCTATATTCCTCTCTCCCCTGCCCCCTTTCTTGTATCCTTGTTCCACAGTTTAATTTCTAATCGTCAGAATATTTCACTAGATTAGCAGTTGTTCCAAAAGAACTTTATTTTCTTTGTTGTTTCAAAATTCTTTGTAACTTTTCTTTTCCCTTATGATCTCTCTTTTTCCCCCTGTTTTTGTTTGGTAGATACATTCATACAAAAAACCAAGAAATTATATTTGGACACCCGCACACAACGGAACATTGGAAAATTGAATGACGAACTTTATGAAGTCCAACAAATAATGACGCGCAATGTACAAGAAGTTCTTGGAGTTGGTGAAAAGTTGGACCGTAAGTGCTCAAACACCTCTTTTTCAATCTTCTCCTTTCAAATTTTTTTTTTAAATAATGTATATTAATCTATTTCAATGATTGCTTTTTAGTAAAAGCAAAATGTCTGTTATATGTAAGGTTGTTGGGCATGTACTTTAAGTCTGGGTCAGCATCTTTAATTGATAAATGGCTACTCTGTGGCATGTTCAAAAACTGATGCATGCATACTTTTTCATGCTTAAATATAGCAATAGAATATTTTTATGGTGTTTTGGATCTATTAAGCATCAGGACTTATGCTAGCCATGGCCTTGCGCTGACAATCTAAATCGGACTCCAATCCAATAATAGTGTTTTGTATCCCATCCACTATTTCTCTGGCAATTTCCCTAAATGGGGGATGACTATATTAGTATTGTGGATTCAAGAAACAGCCTTATAAAGTAGCTATCATTAGTAAATTATAACATAAGTGGTGAACTATTTTAAACTCATAAAAATTATAAAATACTAAATAGTAAAAAATAAATACATTATATATTGGCTGGATGGTAATCATGATTCTACTGAGATTGTAATGATTATCAATTAACTTCTAGTATTTCTGATAATAATGGCAATTTCTTTGGATTGCCAGCTTGGCACGATCTGTAGCCTCATGTATGAAATCCATCATGGGTTTCTCGGCCCCATCTACAAATTTTAGCACTTCCACAAATGGTTTAAGTACCTTGATAATATCAGCTACCTTCCAAATTTTCATTTTGTAATTATCTTACTCATCTCATATGGAGGACCACTTTTAGCCTTTCCTTCAATTTTTATCAGGCATAAGCATATTTCTTAAGGCCTGCTTATACCTGATAATACTTTGAAGGGCTACAAAGTGGTGAACCTCATAATTGTATGATGAAGCAATTCTCTACCCTCTGCAAACTCTTCACGAAGTTCAACACCTAAGCAGAATTATATAAAAAAACGGAAGTAATTTGTCTGGCTTTGCATTTCATGTAGTGTGAGGTTAATTAATGAGCTGCACAAGCTGTCCAATTAAGTGCCTCATCCTTTTCATTAGCATTTTCCTTTCAGCTTTAGATGCACTTCATTATCTTTCACCACCTGGGCCACATGCTGTTTTGCACTCTCCTCAACAATTCTGTTCTCCCATTCTTCTCATGTCTCAAACCATCTCGGCAAATCATTGCATCTGCAGATCAGATCCAGAATCATTTTCCAAATCAACTATATCTTCCTGTCAATACGTTTCTTATCAGAATCTGAATCATCTGTCAACTGGCCTCTAGTTCTTCTCTCGGTTTTTATTTATCTCCCCTTCCTTCTTACTATTTACAAGATGTTTCATCATCTATTCCCTAACTCTCCACTGACAAGTTCTCAAGTGCTAAACATTATGCCTTTAGCGTGTCAAATGATCTTTCAACTGTGTGATATCAACCCTAAATGTTGTTCCACAAACTTTTCGAACAAACTTATGTATGTTCCCTTCAACAGATGATAATACATTTCAGTCTGTTATGATCATTTATATTATATATAGACTTACAGAGCTCTGGAATTGGTTTAATACTGGGAAATAGATTCTGGGAAGTGCTGATAAATGGTGTTTCTGGTTTTATTCTTGTTGTGTTTCTACGTACATATAGTTAGGTAGATGATATATAACCTATAGATTTTGATTTAGACGCAAATTTCTTTACTGCTGATTCTCCAACATGCCCATATAGTGTAAAGCTACCTACATTGGCATGGGTGTCATATTTATTGAGAGTCGAGGTGTTGGGTTGGCTACACTTTTAATATCTGTATTCATGGGCCTTGTATAATAATGTAATGTAGTAGAAAGGATTCTTCTTCATATCGTTTAAGCATTGTTCATATCATGTAAGCTGAAATGAAGCATTGCATGAGAATCTATGAAATCTTGAAATTTGATGTGTGTGCATGCACCTTGAGAATTTTATTATCCTGGTGCCTAGAGGATGGGGTAAGATGTTCTAAGTCACTTCTAACATCCAATTGCTGCTTCATTCACATGAGTCAAAATGGAAAAAACACCTCCCGCCACAAGACTCTGTTTGTTATCTGCTCTGAAATATAATTTGAAGTTAATTTTTTGGATATTCTTTTGTCACAAGCATAATTATATTATTTCCTTGATTTTGATCCTGCAGAGGTTAGTGAGTTATCAAGCCGTTTGACCTCTGAATCTCGTGTTTATGCTGACAAGGCAAGAGATCTAAATCGACAGGTTAGCCTTTGTTTCCTTGAAATTTTATTTATCAGTTTTGTCCATCAATTTGTTTACACCAGCCCCATGTATGGAAAGAAAAATTATTAATATATATATTAAACTTTATTCGATAGAACAATTAGCAAATATCACTGCAAAAAATTACAATAATTATAGATTGAGAAAACAACTTGCAAAGACTATCATTGAAATTCAAGACAAAGGGTAGTGTGGAAGTAAATAATACTTTTTGGTATCCTTCATTTTAAAGAAGAAAAGATGCGAAAAAAAAAAAAAAAACATCGAAACTATAAAAATGTATGCAAAGATAATTGGATTCAAATTTTAAGATTGATATTGGTATTCCATGTGGAATCATTGGAACTCTTCAATCTTCTAACTATGCATGCTTGTTTAAATCTTAAATTGAAATTAGTTATGATTTTAATAAAAAAAAAATGGGATGTGAACAATGAACTCAACAAGTTGAGTCCGAGCTGTTCATGAACTACTCAGTTCATTTGCAGCCCTAGATGGTTGGTCCAGTCTCAAGTGAGAAAAGAATGTAGACATTGGAAGAAGAAGAGGACGGTGGTGGTAATTGTGAGTATAAATGGAGGTGATAGTAGTATGTCAGGGACAATGGATGTCAGTATTGGAGGTGATGGTGGGATGAAAGGGAAAGTGAGCGAGAATGGAGATGGTGGTAGGTTGGATGGCAGAGGGGGTGAGATTTCGTGTGTTGGTTGTTCAAATAGAAAAAGTGTGCTGGAAGGAGAAAGAGAGAGTTGTGGTTGTATAGTATTCAATAACACCAATACAAAGTTTTATTGATATAGATGCCAACATGAATTTGATTTTGGATAAAAGGGAGAACAAAGAAAAAAAGAAATGCAAAATTATGTCTCTTTGGTTGCACATTACTATTTAGGAAGTTGCTATTTTTACAGCCCAAAGGGCTTACTCAAGAATGAGGGAGGGCTGCGGATGCAGTTTGTGGGTCTGTGGAAACAACACGTCCATACTATTTAGGGTAAATAACCCTCAGACCCTATGAAAATGTCCTCACTTTTAGTTATTATATATGATTGCCTCCCTGCTGATGTAAGCGAAGAAAATGATTAAACATTATAGATAAACATAATAACATATACTACGTATTACTATATATACACAGACATGAAGGTCAAAAATATATTCTCCACCACCTCCCACCGCCATCACTATCCACCACCTCGCTCTCTCTCCCCATTCTAACCTACTTTGATTCCCTCCAATGTACACATTCTCTTTGTTCCATTTTCTTGGATTTGCTTCGAAAACCCTAAGCTAGTTTTGAGTCTTTCTGTTTATTCACTCCAAATTCATGAGCTAGGGTCTCAAATGAAACATGACTATGGCTGGAATGGACCACCAATTTGCCACTGCTGTCTTCTTTGTACAGGCTCTTCATTCACCAAGCTCCATTATTCTCAACTGATTCTGTTCATGTGCATGAAATTTCTTGTGCAGGCTGTTCATATACATTTATATTCTCAAACTTGCAAAATTTGAAGGAGTAGTCTCCGAGTTTGCCGTTCATATACATATACCTCTTTAGTCATTCTTCCCAACCTATTTCACACACACTCACACACAAATATATAGATATATCCATCCCATGATACATATGCTATTTTTTTTACTTATAAAAAAAAAAAAAAAAAATGATACATGCTATTTAATTCACCAATCTATTCCGGCAACACCACCTTCCTCTCTCCATGTAGTTCCGAACCTAGATATTGGCTGAGAGAAGGTTGAATGGTTGGATCGGAGGCTAATTGATGGGTGGGTTTTAGGTTTGAGTGGCGAGGAGAGAAAGAGACAGAGACAGAGAGTAATAAAAGATTAATATTATTTGACTACATTATGTATCACAAATGATGTGTAAACAAAACACGATTTCTTTTTCTTTTTTTCCTTTTCACATGTTTTTGTTGTTTATTGTATGAATTGTTGATCTGGAATCTGCATAAAGCAGCATCCTGTAGGTGTTTCTTCTCATCCAGTTGTATATTTGTAATTGTAGGCTTTGATTCGGAAATGGGCTCCGGTTGCCATTGTGATTGGGGTGGTTCTTCTCCTCTTTTGGGTCAAGAATAAGATATGGTGATTTCATCTGCTGGTGCAATATGGCTGGTCTATTGTCACTTAATCGGTGGATTTTTCGGGCTTCCCCTTTAAAGAAGCTTTATAGGGATATATCAATGTGCTGAGGATCAATAGATGTTGGTAGGATAGCAAATGTGTATCTTCAATGGTTATGAGCATTGAAAGCAACTAGAAGAGATAATCTTGGAAATTTTTTGTACTACATCAGTACGAGCTTCAATCCAGGCTTCTTGTATTAACTCGGTAGATTTAGACATATTACTTTCAAATCGGGAGTTTTCATTCGATTCTATACTCCTGCGATACATTTAGAACTGCTTAACTTGAGGTCCATTTGTTGGGTAAGTCATGAAGGTCATGTATGAACTTTGGTTCCAATTTGATGTGGAGATTTTTTATGTGACTAAGTGGTTCATATAATCAGGCAAGTGAGGCTTATCTGGTGACTGATCAATTGATGACTGGTGTGGTTAAAAGTTGGAAGTTGGAGCCCCTGAGACATCAGTGGACTGTCTTAGAGCCCATAGAGATTTTTTTAGTGTGTGTTTGGCGTTGTTGTAGCTTCCAATAAAGTGCTCAATGCTGAAAAGGGCAAACAGTGTTGGAAGATGCAATTCAGAAGACACAAAATTTAAGCTTCTGTTAAAAGTTGTGTTGTACTAAATATCTACGGTAAAAAATGTAGGTTTTTGAGTCACCAAAGACAGCAAACGGTATCTCTCTAAATAAAAGTGCTTCTAGTTTGCTGACCTGCAATGCCAAACAGGCAGGAAAAGGAAAGCGAAGGCAAAAAGAAAAGAAACGGAACTGCTTAAAGGTTGAAACTGGTCCTAGCTGATGGTTGCTAGCTCAATTTACATTTCTAAGGTAGCATTGGGCATTCAATTTTGGTTGACCTATGATGGCGAAATCGAATTGAACAAGTGTTAGGCTCTTGTCCAACGTTGGATTTGGATGGAAAAGATTATCGGGATATATGGGTGGGTATGCAGTACTATCCAACCGCTTAAGCTTTTGGGTTAGAGGGCAAGCACGCTAACACGGTTACAACAAGCCTATTATAATCACAATGTCATCGAATAAAGAATAATTGCTTGCTTGTTAATATTTTCAAGTCCTCCATAGAACACCAATGTATCCATCTCTAAAGGTACTATACAGCAAAGCCCCAAAATCCACCATTTGTTTCTGAATAGAACTAGATATCTTCTCTTGACCCAGAAGAGGGAAAACAATAACCCTAGACTTCTCCACAACTCCCTTTTGAGCTTTCCCAAGTATTAATGCTTGGTTCAGTTTCTTCTGAGAAAATTGAAAATCATAAATCTGTACAAAAATCTGCTTGGTTAACAGTTTCTGAAATATGATTTTTTAAAACTCAGCAAAGAAAACAGTTATTTTCAGAAAACTACACTCAATAGATAGTTCTCCGAAAATAGTTTTCTGAGTTTTTGAGAACTGTTTTTAAGAAAGATAAACCAAGCGGGCATGGTTCATTTATGTGGATAAGAATACTTGCAAATAAATAGCTGAGGCAGGGTAGGAAATAATTATTGGGCATAAATTCTGGCACACATTAGACAAAAAGTCGAGAATTTTGATAACAATAGAACACATATTCCTAGGAAACAAAACACATATTCCTAGGAAACAAAGTAGGAATCAATTTGGCAACTTTTGGTCATGCACAGTGGAATTGTTAAACAGTACTTAAGAAGATGTGAAAGAAACTTGGCTGTAGCATATGGGTTGGATAGATCTGCACTACAGGTGATTGCTTAACTTGGATTTTATTTGTAGAAATCATCTTATTTGCATACATAATACTCCTCACTTTACAAAAATAATAGAGACAAAGGGAAAATCCTAGAAGAACTACTCTTAACAAAAAAAAAAAAAAAAAGAAGAAAGAAAAGAAAAGAAAAGAAAAGAGGAAGGGACTATGCAAGATATGTATTTATATAACACACAGAAAAAAGGTAGGGAAAAAAAAAAAAAAAAAAAAAAAAAAAAAAAAAAAACCCTTTGAAAACAAAAGAAAATATAGGAATTAATCTGGCAAAGAAGAAATGCCTCTGCTGAAACTTGAATACTAATGATGTGATTTAATTTCTCCCAAGTAGGTAGGTGTTTTGTCCAGCTCAGTGTAGTGATGCCTCAAACTGCTTGTGATGACTGAAATAAGCTCACTGGCTGTCCATGTCACTTGGGAAAGGTCCCGGAGACGGCTCAACAACTCTTTATCTGACTTTGAGAATTTAGATACACAATCTGTGAGAAATGTAACAAAACAAAGTTGTGAGTATAAGTTAATCTTACAACATTTATAAATTACAATGCCGAGAAAGAAAGAAAAAAAAAAAAAAAAACCTACGAAGGGAAGAAAATTAGGACACTAAAGGTTATTCTAATTTTTCTCTTGTTAAGTTTTTCCTAAGAAACGCATAAAGCGCGTAAAGTACCTGAACTCTTGATGAGACTGAGTAATGAAAATGAAGCAAGCACCCTTTCCTCTAGAGCTTTGTCATAGTTCAAGGATTCTATCAACTGTGGAACAAAGATTGAGCATGCCATGGACTGAAGATTTTCATCTCCAACTGAATGGAGAAAGCTGCTTATCCATGAAACAGTGACCAGGCTTGCTCGTGCTAAGCATGGGATGCCATTGGATATTGAATCTGAGAGAGCAGCTAGGAACCTCTTGCTGCCGCTAGTGACCAAGACTATCGCTGCTTTCCTTTGCCAATTTTCAGTGGCATTATCTTCTTCATTCTGGAGATGAGTCATATAAATAAAATGTTCTTGTGAGTTACAAAGTTGTCTTGAAGTACAATGCCAATTAAGAGACCATTTATCAATGTAGAAAACCATGAAGATTTACATGGTTCCATACTTCCATAGTCTCTGAAAAATATTCATCTGAAAGTTTTAAAAAAATGACCACCAAATAGTATCTAATTCTGCTAGATATCTTGAACCATTTAAAGCTTGTCTGTGTTCTAATTAAAAATTTAAAACCAAATTTATGCACAAAATTCAAATTTTAAAGAAATTTTAGACTGTCTAATATGTCATAATATGCAAAAGTTAAACTTACCGACTGCATGATTTCATCAACAAAAATTTTCTTTCCATGAAATGAATCCCCTGAGCTATCATCGAAGAAACCTGCTTCTTTCAAAAGCCATTTTTCTGCTGCTGCTTCTCCTGTGTAAGAAAAACGACCTCCCAATATCATCAGAGCTTTGGCTGATTGTTCTTGAACCTTTTCGTTACATACTTGACAATCCAAACCTGTGATTATAGCCTCTACTACCTCTTCTCTATATACGCTACACTTCAAAGGATCTCCCTGCAACATAACTGCTACTAAATGAAGACCTCCCACAAATTTTTTTTCAAACATCTTAACAAACCAAATGGTGCATAAAAACACATGTTTATATAAATGAAGAAAAAGGAAAGATTGAAAATAGAATTACCAGGAGATCAAGTTGTAACAATATTGCTGCAACTATGGGGCGTTCTTCCAGCCGAGCCTTCTGAAGATAGGCTAGCAAGATATGCATCGTGTTCAAGTTGCCCCATCCACATATTAGTTCATTTAAGAATTTTGTCGCCCGGTTTCTGGTGGAATTCCACTAGAGTATCAGATCACGAATTGCTTTTTGAGAATACAAAGGAATTTGTAAGAGTATGAAAAAAAAGCATACCTATTAAGGCAGATTAACTCTGTTAGCAAAGTGAAAGCATACCAATGACAATTCCTATGCTTTCCAAGAACAAGGAGTTCAAGAATAGAACCCTTGTTCAAATTGTTGGCTACGTAGTGTCGACAGCTTCCATCTGCTCGTATACAACAGGAAATAACTAATGCAGCATTGTTCTTCTCGGAGACATCCCCTATTTCCATCCTTTTCTCCAACAAGCTCAATCCCCCAATCGAAACAACTTGTCTAGCATTCTCCAGATTTCTGTCTTCATCGAAACCAGTAAGAAGCTGGTCGAGGAAGTAATATGCTGCTACTTGAGGACTGCACTGAACGGCGAATAAAGTCTGCAATTGATCCCCGAACTCCAACACCCGAAGGACTAGAGGAATCCAATCATTTGATATCATCTGCTTCGCCTTCGGCTTCACCAGGTAAAGTAGAACCGCAGCTTTTAGAAATAGACTACTGCTTCTTAATAATTTCATGAAGATATCTAGCTGTGGATCTGAATTAAGAATTATATGCCTATTTGCTTCATTCCTTGATACAAATTCTGCTAACATTGAAACTGCAAATTCTAGAATTTCGTTGTCATTGGAAGCCAACAAAACCTCCATCATTCCCTCAATCACTGGTGCCTTCGATAATGTTTTTTCAACTGCGGGATCTCCATGTGAAACCAACCATGCTTTGGTAATCACACGGGTTGCTACTTCGCAGTCACTCAGGATCTCCGAGGAGCAAATAGTGGCAATAGCTCCACTAAGATCAGTAGAAGAAAGCCGAGTGTTCTCTGTATTTCTTATCGAGACAATTGTGCTCATATGGCCTCTATGCACCAAACTCTCTGTTGGTTCACTCTGGCAGGTAAGAAATCGAAGATAGTCTGATTTCTGCATCTCAGGTCTTAATTCAGCTTGAGATTTTCTCTGACTTAGGCTTGATGATCTTCGACGAGTCCTGGTTCTATTCTGTCATAGTTCATAAAATAGATTAAATCTTGAACACTTCCTATGCAATTCGTTTTTAAAACTCTAAACAAAAAATGTAAAAAAATATATATATATATATGGGGTTTTTTGTGAGGAGACAAGTAACTCACTTCAACAGAACCATGCCCCTTGATGTCCTCTTCATCCAGATACTCTTTCTCTTCTTCCTCTAGTCCCCATGTATTGATCAAAGCTCCATTTCTATCATCAAGGTCCATTGACCGCCGCTCAATAGTTTGGCCAAAAACAGCTTGAAATCTTTCGTGATTGAGCAATCATGAAGCACACATAACATATACACAAAAGAATTAGGTATAAGAATTTCTATATTTCTCAGGAATGAACAAAAACAGATTTGATCATAAACTTACAGAGATTTATTGACGGAGGAATGTGAAGTATAAGAATCCAAAGATCTCCTTCTTGATGGTATATTGAAGGGTCTTGAAGGCAAAGGCAAAGAAGGAAGAGTAGGTGACTGACCTCCAACTCTAAGCCACTCCTTATAGTAGAGTGCAAACTTAATGGTACCCATGTCGATTTGGTCGTTGTAAACCTTGCTCAAAGCTTTCATCTTCTTCTCTTTGTCGCCATAGTCCGAGTTTGAGAGGAATTCGAGTTCTTTAGTGTACCAAATTTTGAGATGGAGAAGGTGGGGAAGAAAAAAATGCTCCCAAAGTTCAGGAAGCAAGTGAGTCCGCGCAAGAGATGGCGAATCACAGAAAACTTGCAGCAGATGCCTAGCTGAAATCCTATCATTTTTCTCAATCTTGTAAACAATCGAAAGGTAAAGCTGCGCGCACGCTGAGAGATGTGAATTGGGTGTTCCACAGGTTGAGCCATTCTTGGACTTTTTCGAATTCAAGGATGCAACTATGCTCAAAAGCCTAATAGAATTTCGCATTGACTTCATATTCAGTTCTTTCTTTGTCCCTGGACTTCCCACCAATCTCTCAATACTCTCAATCCCCAATTCCATGTTTGCAAATATCCCATTATCAGAATCCTTATTCTTTCTCTCCAAACAAGAATTACACTTTCCCTTTATAGTTTCCCGGAAAGTCTCGTCTTTCAAGTACCTCCCAACATAGCCACTTAGAATAGAAATCACTGCTCTTATAGCAACTTCATCAATTGCAGGCTCATTTTTGCTCGGTCCACTCTCTGCTGTTGACATAGATTTCGATCTCCTTGAACTCGAATCCCCTCTTTTCGATGAAAACACCGACGACCCACTTCGTGCAACGCTCTTATCGGCCTTGTGCTTCGACAAATTGAAGCTATTCCGGTCATGGCAGATGTAGATAGGCAAAGCAATGGACTCATCTTGTGGTGCAACTCTGTCTCTGAACCTCACTTGTTTCTTCTGACCTTTGCGGAACTCGAAACCTTCATCAGCTAGCAAGTCATGCAGAGAAAACATGTTTGGTTGCTCTGAAAATTAATTAGAGGCGAAGAAGAGAGTGTGAAAAGCTTCACTGACATTCTTCCAAAGCCAAAAGATAACAAAAAACACAGCTATAGAAGTGCAAGAGATGATGTGAAGGACACTAAAATAAGGACAAGAATTGTGTTGGTGATTTTCCTAGACTTTTTAACCGTTAAATTTAATACTACCTTTTTCCAGTTTAAATTTTCTGAAAAAAAAAAAAAAGGGGGTAGAAAAAAGGAAATGGTTTCAGACAGTTGTGAGTCATTAGTGGTGGGCATTATATTCCCGCCCTGCTTTGAAGGGAACTAACTGTCGGCTAGTGTGCACTTGACGTGTCGTTATTTTTTAGAAATTTTGGTTATTTTTGGAGTGGATATTAAATTTCAATATTTTTTTCTCTTCTCATTATTTGTCCTTTTATTTTTGTTTGAGAAAAAAACAAGGCCATTAGATTTTTATAATAATGAGTTTATTTATCAATGTAGTATATGTTAAGGCTTTAAAATAGTGTACCAAATCGAAATTCCTTGGACCACCTTGGGAATTTGTCACGTGCATGTGCGACGATAGTGAATTATGAAATGTTTTAAGAGGTCGGACAATGTTATCATCCACGTAATAGCAATAAAAAATAATGATAATAAAAAAATTAGTGTACCAAATAGTTGGAATTTGAATCCTGATTTCATTTAAGGTTAGGGAAGGTGGCAGGGACTAAGGGAGGACTATCCTTATCTGCTGGTTCTTGCAAAACTAGTATGGTTTCAGCCTGATTTTGCATGATCTTCTTCTCACCATAACCATTTATCAACTAATTTTTGAATATAGGTCACTCCTGTTATGAAAGTACTGATTTCCGATGTGAGGACAGACTACAAAGGACTCATCTCTCTTCTTGTATAGTCCATTATCACCTTTTGAGCGAGAAGAAGACAAGTCACTCGTGTCACTTCTTTTGTTTTTGCCTTTCTGAAAAATATTTTCAGAAATACTAAAAACATTTTTATAGTTTTGAGGGAATAAAAAAAATATAGTTTTCTTAATTAAAAGTCTTTATTTAACTTGGTTTTGATGAAATCAACTTTAAGAAAACATTTAACTAATGCTATGTTTGGAAGCATCGAATCGACAGCTTGGATTTGGAATTTAAGAAAATTCAATTAAAACTTTGAACTAAACTTATTCCAATTTTAATATACCGATTCAGTACTCTCACACGCAACATAAATGATTTTTGTATATGTTTTAAAAATATATATATATAAAGCTTCAATACTTGACCTCCCCCTTCCACTTACACTCAACAGTATCTTCATCGGGATCCGATGTAAGAGAAGAACTTCTAACATTCTCTATCATCCTAACTTGCAATGGCTACGTTATGGTCAGACCATCCGAGAATGAATCCGAACGCTTAACATGACATTAAATTAAAGACCGGATTTGACGCTCTCAGACCCAAAAATTTAAACTATTGCTAGGTTTTTTGGTGGTTTGAAAATTCTGGAAGTATTTGAATGATTGGTATTTGAGAAAAAACGGTTTAGTTCCAGCCTGGGTTTGGGTGATACTGGCAGTGATGGTTCACTAAAATTAAAAAATAAATTGCTGAGGGGTCAATGTATCAAACAAAAGAGGAAAATGTTTTGTAACGGATAACATGTGATATGCTTAGATGAGCGGGACCCAATATTCACCGTTTCAAGATTCTTTCTGAATACAATAATAATATAAAAGAAAGAGGCATCTTGTGATTTGATATATTATAGAGAGGAATATATATATATATATGAAATAAAATAGGGTAAAGTATAGCCGCACCCTTTTAAGGTTTGGTAAAAAGACATTCAAATGAAATTTACCTATTTTTTGGACAAAAACACTCCTTAAAGATTCAAAAATGGACAAAGACACCCCTTTTCATTAGAAATTGACCAAATTACCCTTTGACTGTTTAGGAGACTTTTTTAACTTTATAATTTAATAAATTGGACCAATCTACCATCATAAACAATTTATACATAAAAAAAAGTAACCAAAAAAAAAAATTTGTTATTTACTTTATAAATGTCCCAACTTCTTAAAAATGTAGACGATTTTTTGATCCAGTACATATATTTCAAATAAATTATATTTTGTTATTACTTATTTTCTTTTTTTTTATTTTTAAATTAAGATACTTAATTCTTTCATCTAAAAAAATTAAACCAATCTTTTTTTCTTAAAAATAAAAAATATGGTACTAGTATAACTTTATTCATCTTAAATTATATATCAAATATTATGCATTTCTCACCATAAAAGGGAAAAAAAATAATAATAAAACAAAGAAGGAAAAAAAAAAACAAATGCATGCATAAAGTTATACTAATACCTATTTTCTTTTATGTTGGGAAATGCATAATATTTCATATATAATTTAAAATGCATAAAGTTATACTGGTACCATATTTTTTATTTTTAAGGAAAAGAGATTGGTTTAATTTTTTTAGATGAAAGAATTAAGCATCTTAATTTAAAAATAAAAAATAAAAAGAAAAGAAGTAATAACAAAATATAATTTATTTGAAATATATGTATTGAATCAAAAAATCATTTTAGACGTCTACATTTTAAAGAAGTTGGGACATTTAAAAAAAATAAAAAAAAAAAAAGTGAACAATATAAAGTTTTTTTTTTATGCATAAATTATTCATGAGGGTAGATTGGTCCAATTTATTAAATTGTAAAGTTAAAAAAATGTTCTAAACGGTCAAAGGGTAATTTGGTCAATTTTTCATGTAAAGAGGTGTATTTGTCCATTTTTGAACATTTAGGGGTGCCTTTGTCTAAAAAACAGGTAAGTATCATCTGAATGTCTTTTTACCAAACCTCAAGGGGTGTGGCTGAATTTTACCTAATACAATAAAATGAAATGAAATGTTTATTCCCAACTCTCTACAAATTAAAAATGACCACTCCTATAAAAATGATGGAAGGAATGAACATTTAGTTTTAAAGAATCAAAATAAGATATATATAAAGATAAAAGTACCCTCGTGATAATGTGTATATATAAATACACACACACACACACACACACACACACACACACACATATATATATATATATATATATATATATATATAATATATTGTGACGACCTTTGTGAGCGGGTGTGATGTGGGTGGACCCTGGCAGGCGACAAAGTGTTACGATCCCACGTTCATCATCTTTCAATGACACAAGACTTTTTAAAGCCGTGATGACCGTGAACCCATCAGAACTCCGGAGTTAAGGATACTTAACTTGGAATAATACCAAAATTGGTGACCTACTGAGAAGTCTCTAGTTCGAGAGAGCCAAAAACGAACAATATTGTATACGGGTAGGGTGAGGGTTGTTATAAATAGTATCACAACCGGAATTCAGTCGACCGAAGTGTGGCCAACGAGGACGTTAGGACCTTGGAGTAATTGTGACAACCTCTGTGGGCGAGTGTGATGTGGGTGGGCACTGACAGGCTACAGAATGTCATGAACTCACATCGCCTGAGGAAGGGGAAGTGCTATGTGTAAATTCATTACCTTTTTATGACATAAAACGTTTTAAAACCATAATGGCCGTAAATCCATTAGAATTCCAAAATTAAACGTACTTAACCTAGAATAATCCTTTGAAAAGTCAATATTGTGTCCGGTAAAGCGAGAGTTGTTGCAAATATCATATTATAGATTATTTATATAACACAAAATATACGTCCCTCTATTAATTTTTTTTTTTAAATAATATTTTAAAATTTATTTTATTGTGACTTTTAAACTAATTTAACCAAACACCGAAATATAATTAATCAATCGAATAATGATCATTCCTTTCTTGAACTATTCTCATTCCATTATCGCTACATTTCATTTATACTTCATTCCATTATCGCTGCATTTCATTTATACTTCATTCCATTTTTGTATATCAAACATAGCCTCACATCTTTTGTATGGCTTTTGATCATCAAACTAAATGCATCGACAGTGAAACTGATTCTATGATTATTATATATATATAAATAAACAATACTTAATTCGACATACAAATTAATCGCCGTTTGATGTGAGATAGGATTGATGTCATTACATTAATAATATTAGAGTTATTCTACTATTAAATTTTGTATTATATATATAAACTTGCACGTTTTGTGAAGTGATCTCAACCGTGGTGATTGCCAAATGTCACACTACAACGAACATATTTTGTTCCTGTCACAAAAAAATCTCCATGGGGTCCTCTTATTGTAGTTGTTTTCCTACTTTAATTAGGATTGATGATTGCAATGAATGAATATACAAATGAAACGAAAAGTTCAAAATGAAGCTAGTTTTAGATTTATGACCTACTGTGTCTGTGATTATGATCGACTAACGTGTGAGACGGTTGGTGGGTGAGAAAGGGAGAAAATATTGGCCATTTGATGGTGACAAACCAACTTTTTTTTTTTTTTTTTTCTTTCTTTTTGATGAAGATTGAACTAATGGAGGGTGGATATTTTCTAGGTTTGATGTGGACCAATTTGATCACTTTGTTGTTCTTTGATTAGGATATTCTACATGATGTCTCACTTTGTTTATTATAGGTCATTATTTTAATTAATGTTGATAAAAAAATAAGTAAACCATTGTATCATATGATGTTCCATATGATGTTCCATTGAATTATACAATATGTTTGTGTGTGTGTCACTGTGTGAGTGTGTGTGAAGCTAGTGGGTTCATAGTGAAGGGGTTGTGTGTGTTTTGCAAAGAGGACAAAGAAAATTGAGCTGTGTAGAGATAATTTTGAAGGAGGTCTCTAACTTTTTGTGGTCTATTTTGTTTCTCTTTTAATTCCTCCTCTCGTCTCTCGATGCGCTCTCTCGTCTTATTTGCTGTCATTTTGCTTTTGCTTTTGCTTTTGCGTTTGCTTTTGCTCTTCACCCATTTTTTATTCTCCATTTTCAAACTGATTTAAATTATATGCATTTGGGATTTTAGGTTGTGTTGGGCTTCTTATTCTTGTTTTATCCTATCCCATTTCTTGTTTCTGTGGCCCAATCCATTTTTCTACTACAAACATTCGAGTGATGCTGGCCCAAATTGG